TTAATATACATATATATACACGTATATATGTATATATATATTCGAATTCATATATATATATATATATATATATATATATATAAAAATATATAAAATATTTGTTTATATATATACCTCCTTAATATACATATATATATATATATATATTTATATGTATGTATATATATATATTTAAATATACGAGTCTTTTATATATTTATACGTATATATATGTATGTATAATATATATTTGTTATGTATATATATAATATATATATACATAACAAATATATATTATACATACATATATATGAATTCGAATATATATATATATATATCAATTGATTTTTTAATTAAAATCACAATTTTCAACCGATGTCCGTTGGAATTTCGTTGGAATTTTTTTTTAAAATTTTCAAAAAAATTTCCAACCGGCATCCGTTGGAATTCGGTTGGAATTTTTTTTAAAAAAAATTCTAAAAAAATTTCCAACTGGCATCCGTTGGAATTCCGTTGGAATTGTTTTCTAACAAACATCCGTTGGAACTCCTTTAAAAATTTGCAACCGATTTTTCCAACGTTAATCCGTTGAAAATTTCCAACGGATATCCGTTGGAAATACCGTTGGAAATTTCTAACCCAATTTTTCAATTGAATACGTTGAAAATTCCGTTAAAAATTTCCAACGGGTGTTTCCAACGGATACCCGTTGGAAATTTTCAACGGAATTTTAACTGAAATCGTCGTTGAAACGCCGTTGAAAACCGTTTAAAATTTTCCAACGGATAAATCCGTTGGAATTCGAGGATTTTTTTGTAGTGTAACCGTAAACCGAATAAAACGAACCCAAATTAACCATAACCGAAAATATCCGTTTATCCATCTATATATCATCAATTAATATGTAATATATTCTAAATCTAATTAGAAAAAATAGTATAATGATATTGTTTTATAATCATAGTATATAACAAAACGAAATATGCATATATTTTAATGGTCTTTTTGTTATTTTTATAAGGTAATTGTTTGAATTTTTTTTTATCTTTTTTTGTTTGGATAAACCGAACTGAACCCGATCCGAAACGAACCGAACCCGAACCCGAACCGATTAAAACAATATACCCAATTGGATATAAATATTTCAAATCCGAAATACCCGAATCCGAAATAACCGAACCTGAATCGATCGCCCACCTAGGGCCCACGTATGCATAACATATCATTTTTTTTTGTCTACAATGTATTTGCTTGGAGGCTGTAACAAAAACACCGTATATACGTTGCATATGTGCGTGTAGACACGCACACGCACTCACAAGAACCTCTATATATATAACACGAAAATTTTCCGAAAAGGCACCTCCATTAATTAGTTTTGTTTTTATGTATTGTCTTGGAAAAGATTAAAAAACGAGAAGGAAAAAAACACATTCCTTTACCTAATATATGATGGAAACATGTGAATATATGTAACTTAATCCCTTTCTTTATAATTATTCTGGACATTATTTGTTATATTTGCATTTATATATGATGTTTAAATTTATGGATCTGAAAAATAATTGATTGTTAGCAATGAAACGATCAAATTCTATCTCGTGTATAACATTATAAAGCAGTACTAATTCCTTGAATTTTTATTATATATGGACAATGACAAGAATCCTAATGGAATATTGAATTATCAACATAGTGATATATGCATGTTAGTTTTTTATATAAATATTTATGTATTAGTTGATGCATGCATCCTCATCCGCAGACCATTTTAAATCTAATCATTTATCTGTTTTTAAAGATAATAATTAAATTCTAAACCATTAAAACTAGTTGTTCAAATTGCATTCAACAATTAAGAAAAGAATTATTTGAGCTTAAAAAATAGCAAGCGACTTATTCCATATACTATATAACATAATTATACTTAGTTTTTTAAAAACAAACAAATATTTTAGCAAAAGCAACGAATTGAAAGTTAATGGTGGCCGGATAGGACCATGAAAGTGCCTCGACGTTTTCTGAGACAATAAACGGCACGTAGTTATTCTCTGCGTCATAGGGATGACAGTAGTTACATTTGGCTGCCGAAAATCCCCTGTGGACCGGTGAACCGGTTAACCGGACGTCCTCCTTAATTACCGAGGTTGACCGGTATATGTTCAATGGAACGACAAAATTAAATGCATAGACAACAACTTAACATGACTTTGTCTCCATTCGTTAAATCTAGAAACCAAGTAAATATTAATGCAGCTCGCAGTTATACGTCGTCGTCGTCTCTCAAACTCGACGTGCGTCAATGTTTCTGCTTGGATTTGGTACGTCGCCGTTGAAAAACATTAGGACGAAATCAAATTAGGGTTTGCAAAATGATACTTTACGCAAACATTTTTTTACAAAATTTCGTATTTTTTATACTGATATATATATATATATATATATATAATATTTTCATGAATCAATAACAAAAAAAAAAAAACAATGCCACTCGATCATTTTCGTAGTATGAACAATCATCAGACGCACTTGGTGTTTCGTAATAAAATTGGTTTGAGTATAAAATAATCAGAGCAGGTGATTTCATCGTATGAACTAAGAGAACCGGTAAACGCAAAACCATATTAATATATATATATATATATTATGAGCATATATTCATTGATTTTGACTCCTTCGATCATCACCTGAAACACGTCTCATTAACTTTTAACTGCTTCCGAATCCGTGTCGTTGGTTGGCATATTTTTTCCAATCTTAATAACTTTGAAATCTAAGATCTATTTTAGTTAATTTTATTTGATTTTTTTTGCCGTATCTTTTTACCCTGTTGTTCTTCTTTATTAATTTGATATAGTTGGGTTATCATATAGAAATTTTGGCATCACAAAATGCATCATGAATGTATAAAATCTGTCTCATAAGAAGTTAATACTGCCGGAGCAAAATCATAGACTTCCAAAAAGGGGTATTTTGTACAATTTAAATTCTTGTTTTTTTACAAATGAACAAAATATTTGTAATAGTTTATTTGTACACCGTTTTTGCTAATCTAATATTCTATTAAACACATAATCTACTAAAATTTGAGATATCTTTATGGTAAGTAGCTCATTTGTTCGATATATATATATATATACACACGTTTTAATATATCAATTTTTTATAATAAAAAAGTTTACTAAACTTTTAGTCCAACTAAATCTTTCAAAGGATAAGGGAAGATCATGCGAATATCATTTTCTAAATGAAAACTCGAACATGAATTGAAAATAAACTTTATTTCCTTTCTTACAAATTAAGCCACTCAATCTTGGGTTTTAACATATCAAAATTGACGAATGAAACAGATGAATCATACAAAAGCTAGCCCAAATAAAATGTTAATTTCATAAATTATTATTGCACGCACGGCCATCAGAAGTTTCTAATGAGGTAAGGCACTACGATATGCAAACGTAGCAAGACGTAACTTACAAAAAAAAAAAAAAAACTGATGAATACTCCGGTGTGAACAAATCAAAAGTTCCCCACATATATAGACTCACGCATATAATATAAGGTTAATAATATTTATATTTTACAGCGTAAAACCAACGATCTATAAGGCCATTAATCATGCATTTCTTTTGTTCTAGAATTTATTAATAATATCTATTATGATCTTTTGTTAGTCCGTGCAAGTTTCCCCATGTGTCACATTTTATAGACATATCTTAGTCTTCTTATGATTATCCACCAAGTTTCTAGATTAAAAAAAAATGTGTTGAGAGAGAGACGTTTTTGGTCTCTGCATTGAAAACACGAAGAATAGATATATGGTTATTCGATATTAAGATCGAAACGGAACTAATATTGATTGTATAAAAACAGTATTGTACTGAAAATGTACGCAATTTATAAAGTATCTACATATGAACGCGGACCCCAATGTGTACAGAATGCTGGCTATATTATCCGGAAACCGTAAATCAGAGCGTTGACGGGCTACAGATGGTGATATGATCTAACGGTCCAGATTGCACGGAACACGGGAGGAAGTGTGATCCATCTGCACCCGATAATATATGCCATTTTTAAAAAATTAAATGGAGCGAGCGACGGAGGATGCTTCGTTCACATTCATAATGGAGGAAACCGCTGTTGAAAAAGTCCCTTTTGACGAAAGGAAATGGTAAGCTTCTCCTTCCTTTATATACATTTCCACTCTCTTCGCTACTCTCATCCTCCTCCTCCTTCTTCTATTTTGCATTTCACAGCTTCTCCTTGTTTTACGAATCCAGAGATTTCTTCTTCTTCTTCAATTCTGTAAGTGTTGAGGTTAAGCTTCCATGGCCACACCGAGCGAAGTTTCGGCTCTTTTGTTCATTAAGAAGCACCTTCTTGATGAGACTTCTCCTGTGGCCACCGTCAGTGCCTCTGCCACCTCTGTCGCGGCTTGTTTCCCGGATAATCGATGCATGAGCGACTCGATGCTTGGAGTTTCAGGATCGAGTTGTTCAGTTTCGGATTCTGCCGATTGTTCTCGGAATTCGAGCTCCGCTTCTTCTTCCATGGCGGTTCCTGACCTCCAGCCAGCTGCCGGATTCACCGACTTCGCATATTTTTCTCCAGGTGGAAACGATTTCTTTGAACCTGAGACAAAACCCGAAATTATCGACCTCGTCACGCCGAAATCGAAGGATTTCGTTTCTAGATCGCTTGATTTCGAAGCGGAGTTCTCCGATTTCGAACAGAAAGCTAGAATTCCTTCTGCTCCGAGTTGGGATCGCTTTGACTCAGAACTAAAAGCTGAAATCCCAACTGAATCGCAAAATTCCTTCGAGTTTGAGACGAATTCGTTTGCCGTTTCTGACTCGACCTCCCATTCTAAACGGAATCCGCCATTGAAGATCTCGTTGCCAAGCAGAACAGAGTGGATAATCTCCTCCGTCGCAGAGAAACCGATCAGTCAAGGACGGTCAATAGTGGAGGAAAAGAGGCATTACAGAGGAGTGAGGCAAAGGCCGTGGGGAAAATTCGCAGCGGAGATCCGAGACCCCAACCGACGAGGATCTCGGGTGTGGCTCGGGACCTTCGACAGCGCCATAGACGCGGCCAGGGCCTACGACAGAGCAGCGTTCAAGCTCAGGGGCTCCAAGGCCATCCTCAACTTCCCGCTAGAGGCTGGGAAGTGGAATACAAGCCCCCCCATTGATGACGCCGACAAGAAGCGGAAGAGAAATGAGGAAGAAGGCGAGAAGGCGGCGGAAAAGGTTCCGAGGAAGGAAGAGGGTGAGGCCATGGAGGCAAAGTCAACGGCGTTGACAAGCTGGTCAGCCGTGTGTGAATGGGACTTGACGGAGTTCTTAAACATGCCTCCTTTATCGCCTTTATCGCCTTTTGGATATCCACAATTGGCTGTTGTTTGATTTACGTTCTGCTGACGTGGATTCATTTGGGTTGATGGAAACGACGTCGTCTATTTCATTCTTTCTTATCATCTGTCCATGTTTTATTTGTTTGCAACATTGAGAGAGAATGTTAAGCTTTTTCCAAAAGCACAAATCTTAACATTGGCATATGAAAAGTACATGTGGTTTATTTGGTTAATAACCGAGTAATCAAACCGAACGAATCAAATAATATGTAACCATAATCGAATCGAATTAAATATAAAATCGAATAGTTGTAATTGTTCTAAATCGAATTCGAAATTAAATTTGAACAAAATAATCCAAAAATCCATAAATATTTTAAGAAAATGAATATTTTTATCCTCTATCGAATCAAATTAAATTCAATATAAAAATCGAATGATAATAGATTTTTCTAAACCCAAGGATACATATGATTGACAAAAACTCAAGCGTTGGTGATTGGCAAAGGAGATTATAAATCATAAGAAGATTCTAAACACAAATTACATCTTTCGGAAATGTGTATTGAATTCATCACATCTGTCTTCCTCCCCACTGTCGTCTCTTTGCACCAAATCCGTATAAAGTTATTACACAAACAAGCTGTGAATTGCTTTGGAATTGTATATTTACTGCAAGATTTTACGTGCAAGGCTGTTTTTTTGTTTTGTAACAAACAGTACCACGTGAATATCAATTTTGAAACTCCAATCATATCTCCATGTGCTATTTGGATTTCGTTTAATCATTTTCTTCCTCTATGCATGGAAAGACCTCAGTATTTCCATTAAACACGTGATTAAAGAGCCAGACAATACGGTTGATTATCAAAACGAGTAGAAGAAAACATTAGAATGGCGTCCAAATAAATTGTGGAAGGAACAACACGTCCGGACACACTACTTGCTGTCGGGTCCGATGGATACTCAACTGGGTCCCACTCGGGTTCATCATTACAGGCCGCCGCATATCCAACAGAGCAAATATTACACGTATATCTTATCATCTTCTGATTACACGATTCGTACCACATCGCCCTGAACCGGTTAAGAACGATATGGAATTCATTCCGCCGTGCATTGCAACACCAAGAGGCGATACATATACCAGAAAACATGCTTTTGTAATCCTCTTATTACAAGAAGCCTCACCGGTCTGGAATGATTTTTGTATACCAAAAACATCAAACCAAACGACGTATATATAACCATTACTACCATTCTGACCCTACCGGTTCAAGCTGGTAGGTGCAGAAACTCAATCTTGAAACCCAACCTGTGGTTAGCCTGCCTAAACCATACCCCTGCTTGTATAAAATGGTCTGGTACACCAAATAAAAATGTCTAACCCTTACATAAGTGTACCAAAGTTTGCATTATGATCACAGAGCCATGCAAAAAGTTTTCCAAGCACCGGGTAATTTAGAATTCTTCATCAGAAACCAAGAGATAACCCATATCAAAGAAATGGAAAAAAAACAAAAACCCTGATCAGCAATGAGGGTGTTGAACAAAACTTTGCCTGAGCCCTGAAACGACCACACACTCAGATAACCTAAAGGGAAATATGCTTTACTAGTCCCTAGGCATTATCCTGCTGGTTGGTTGGTTGGTTGGTCGTTTGATATTATAACTTCCAAACCCAACCTCCTAAGTATCAAAATTCAAAAGGAAAAATGAGTCTTGATGCAGTTCCTTAACCATGAAATATTAAGAAATAAGAATAATGTGAATATCCTCATAGATGAGAAGAAAGGAAATAAGACGGAGGAACACAACTGATTATACCATTGAACTGAATTGTTTAAGCATCCAACACAATTTTTTGCCTAACAGAAAAGGAAACTAGACACCATATAATATATAACCTTTTACCCTTATTTACTTCTAATTTTGTAATACTATGTTTCGTAAACCTGAAACCAGAAAAAAGCATTTCATATACCTCAAGGTGAGACAGAAGACGTCAGAGACATTCATTCTTTTTCCTATCTTCTACTGTTTTGTATCTCTCGACCATGTCACTAGCATGCCTATCTACCCTGCAACAACCAAATTCAAAGTCGCAACTGTTGTGTCAAACATTAAAGAAACGCGTACAAATAACAGAACAGTGCCAAAGCAATAAGACAGTAGTTTGATCACCTCTGCCTCTGCAACAAACACAATCATTGTTACTGATGCAGATAGTTCTTATCATTGGTTACAAGTGAAGAAGGAAATCACCATTAACCATATATATTTGCAAATCCAAGTTATAGACCCGGTGACCCACTGACCACGTTAATCCGCTTGTGATTCTGAACATCCTACTATGGATTTGGTGTAATCAGTAGTCGCACCTGATGGTCAATCTTAATACAATTTTCTTATAATTCGCACAATATGATTCTGATGGATCCATCAAGCAAAAGGGTTTGCAGGTCCGAGCAAAATTGAGCCACTAAGTTAATTGCTTAAGCAAAAAATTGTACCTTAGCCTGAGAATTGGTTGTTCTGAAGCAATCAGCGTTCAGTCCCACAAGGCACAATCCAGGGTACACAACCTACAACACAAAAAACCAGAGCTTTAACCGATATCGCGATGATGAAACATCAAGAGAACGAGAGAAACCGACGACAGAAAAATCTTCTTAAACAACGGAGGAAATAATAATGGGCCATTTCCCGAGGCAATTCGTCGAACACCTGGGACTTACATCAATATATTTCTGCAAGGTTTTCGGTCGCTTTCGCGGCCGGCGAGACGGCCTGTTGCCGCTCATGCTGAAGATGTCTTCTTCGATTTCGTCTCGAGAAAGAGAAACCCATAGCCTCAGATCCCCGTTCCTGCCATCTCCGCCGCCTAATCCCGGCGATTCTGCCGGAAGTCCTCTCTGTCTCTGAGATTTTGGCTCCTGTCCAACAGTTTTCTGACGTTTTACGTCTGAAGCTCCGCCGCGTGGTTCTGGCGAGAACTTTCCATTGCTCCTTTTTGAACCGGCACAGCTCCTCCTTGGCCGTAAGTTCCACGTCCTCTTCTCCTCCTCCTCCTCCTCCTCTTCTTCTTCTTCATCCTCCTTCCCGCAGACCAACGGAACTTCTCCTCTCTGCGGAGACGGTGGCGGCTTCTCTTCACGCGCCGTCGCGTTTCCGAATCCTTTCTGGCTTTCTATGACGGGCTTCGCCGATGATGGAGCGAGGGAGGAGAAGGATATGCGCTGCTGCCGTGTGGACCGTGATCCGACTCCTCGGTTAGCTATCGCTGGCACCGGGGAAGAACTTCGGTTGACTTCGCCTCCTAGCTTCGGTTCCAAATCGGTCGCGGCGGAGGTGGGAAGGGTCGCGGGAGAGAAGCAACAGAGGGACTGCGAAGCCGGCGGCGGAGCAGACATTGAAGAAACCTATGGATACGGTGCGAAAACGTTTACGTATAGAGGGAGATTGAAGAACAAAAAACCCTAAAAACCTCGGAGAGGACGCAGAAAGTGGGAATTGAATTTTCAGAGATGATGCGATTGCATGCGTACTGCCCTTGTAAAATATCTCCTGTTTATTTAAGGTGCGAAAATCCTTTCTATTGATATCAATGATATAATTGCTGAATTTCTTATGCATATTTTCCATTCGATAATTCTTTTTTTTTTTGTTTTTAAAGATACGATGTAACAGTTCAGATAATAATCTGGATTCTATTAAAACGGTTCTTATATTTATCGACTTTTAAATTTTGGTCAGAAACATAGCGTAAAAGATGTTGCATATGATAATTAATAATTTTTTTTTTGAAATGAACTGAAACATTAGGGTGAGGAATTAGTGCATATACATTTCTTAGCGATAATTGAATTTTTCAACCGTGCATTAATATACACGAAACGAACGCAATGATTCTACAAAGCTATGACACAGAGGCATTTCTTGTAGCTGAGGTTATGGGTAGCGTTTCGGTTTGAGAACTTGGTTACAAATTGAACCGAACTTAAATCGATTCGTCGAACCGAAAAATATTTGGTTTTAATTTGATGTAATTTTTATAGAATCAAATAAACCGTTTTCGAATTGAACCGATAAAATACCGAATAAAACCCTAATCATTAATAATCATTTCTTTTTTGGTAAAATTTGGTCCAATAAAATTTGAACCTGAGTTTGAGAACATTTTGTACTACCCAACCACCAGTCCAATTAACATTTGGTTCTAGTTTGATATAACTTTTGAAAAAAAAAAAAAAAGAGAGAGCTAAGGATAGGTTTCATATCTTTTGAAAAGAGAACTGTATATAACTGAAAAAGCTTCATGGCAATATTAGGGGTGGGGTGAGTACTTAGTGTATTTGTTCGGATTCATTTAAGTCATTTTCGGCTTTGATAATTTGGTTTTAATATTGATTTTATTTTATTTTTACTAATAAAAATATTCATTTTTATTTTTCTTTTTTAAGTTATGCAATTATTCTTTTATTCAGATTCAGTTTTTAGGTTTAAACAAATTATAAATATTCCATTATAGTTTATCCTGATAGTTGGGAAGGTGAGGTTGGACCAAAAAGGCCCATAAGGGCCCAAGATTGAGAACCATCCGAAGCCGTCACAAACCCTAGATTTCTGATCTTCCCCATTGTTTAAAAGCCCCCCGAATCGGCTGCCTACTGTGTTACGATTGAAGCGCCGTGGCCATGGGTACGTTGCCTTCCTCTCCCTCTCACCGGCTCCTTGTCTTTTTTTTTTGGTGGTTCGATGTAATAATAACGGAAGAAATTTGTAAAAAAAAAAAAAAAAAAAAAAAGGGCACTAAATAAGTATAAAGTATTATGAAATGTCTAAATCTGAATAGTATTTAGTTTACATGGATGTCATATCAGTTATGTTTCAACTGAATAAGACTTTCTTGTAAGAATTAATAGACTTTCTTCCGTGTGATGTGATAACACGTGGTTGAACAAAGTTCCAAAGGAATGATCGAACCCTTGAAATGGGGATGGAACCACCGAAGAGGATAGGTTTAGAGCTATTCGTAGAGGATGGTCCACTCTATTTGTGTGTGTATATGTATATATGTACTGTCTATTATATATACACACATATACAGGGGATGCAATGTATATCGAAATGGAGATGTGATGCACATGCACACACCACGAGTGCCATGCGTTGTGGACCGGTAAGAATAACCTTATATTTGTGGACCGGACCGGACCGGACCATATATCCATTTCAGAGTCATCAAGAATAAGACCCTCGTTATTCATTCATGGTCCCCAAGAACTAACTCGTGAGTCTTCTACGCACAATACACTTTGTTTTCTCATGAAAGCCCAAAAACTATTAAGATTTATACGGTTTATTTTAAACAACATAATGACAGAATTATCAAAGTCGTACATTTTGTTTTATGATAGGTTTCGAATCTAAATATTTCAAGAACAAATATGTGATGAGTAGACATGGAACATGCTTTTAAACTTTAATCTTCAATTTTATAATGAATGTGATAAATAAAATAAAAAATTATATTGGCTACCAGACCAAAAAGAACCCCAACACACAAAAGAAAAAAAAATATATACAGAAACGGCAGTCGGACGTGATGAGGTTCTTGCAGAGGGTTAGGTGTTGGGAGTATCGCCAGCAGCCTTCCATTGTCCGTCTCACTCGCCCCACCCGTCCCGACAAAGCCCGACGCCTCGGCTACAAGGCCAAGCAGGTTCCTTTTTTTTTTCTCGAGTTTAATTGGGTTATATCCACATTGTCATATTCAGGTCGATTATTTCAGATTTAAAAATATTTTAGTCATTTGATTTTTATATCAATTTTAGTTAGATTTAATCTTGGGATGGTTTTTTTATAGATTTTTTTTGGAATTATTCAGTTATTATTTATTCCATTCAAGTTTCGTTTTTTCGGTGTAAGATAAATCATAACCATTTCTATTTATATTAAATTGACTTGATTTGGTTAGAATGAGTTTGGTTATTCAATTATGGACCAAATTGGTCACCCAATGTTGTATGGGCTGGTTAAGCGGTATGTTGATGATTACGATGATACGATACTTCCTGAGACCAGCCACATTGAGTCTTAAAAAGATTCGTCAATCATCTGACCGAGCAGTTCCTGATGCTATCGTGGACTCTGCTCTTGTCTCGATTGATACATTACATTTTCCTATGTTTGTTCTGTCTTTGGTTGCTGCTGATGCATTGGTTATTGGGACAGGGAATTGTGGTCTACCGTGTCCGAGTTAGGCGCGGAGGTCGGAAGAGGCCTGTCCCTAAGGGTATTGTGTACGGAAAACCCACCAACCAGGGAGTGACCCAACTCAAGTTCCAACGCAGCAAGAGATCTGTGGCCGAGGAGCGTGCTGGCCGCAAACTGGCTGGCCTTAGGGTCCTCAACTCCTACTGGATCAATGAGGTATTTACTGGTTAGGCCTAGGTGTTGGCAAATGGTTTGATTATTTGAAAATCAAACCGATCCGATTGAAATTAAATAACTATTTAGTTATGAATTTTTAAAACCTAAAATAATGAATAAAATGAAACTGAATTAACCGTGACCTAATAACTAGATATGTAATTAGAAAATTAGCATAATGAGGTTGTTAATAACTATAGTATATAATTAAAGAGAGACCTTTAATTCCTTTTTCAACAGTGTTGCATAATTTGTTTCATTTATTATTATAACTGAAGCAAACTGAATTTTCATTTGGTAATTATTTTAGTTTGAAACTGATTAAAACCAAATATCTGTTTGATTATGAATTTTCAAAACCCAAAATAACAAAACCCGAATTGTAACCGAATAATCTGAATTAAATCGTTTGCTCACCCCTGTTTAGGCCTACCCTATCACAATGATTGTATATTTAAGTTAGTATTGCCAGCTCATTGTTGATTAATGGTATTTGAACTTGTAGGATTCTACGTACAAGTATTATGAAGTGATACTGGTGGACACTGCTCACAGTGCCGTCCGGAATGACCCCAGGATGAACTGGATATGCAACCCGGTTCATAAGCATAGGGAGCTGAGGGGACTTACCTCGGAGGGAAAGAAGAACAGAGGTCTGCGTGGAAAGGGGCATCTTTACCACAAGAATCGCCCATCTCGACGAGCCACCTGGAAGAGGAACAACACCCTCTCCCTCCGCCGCTACCGCTGATTTTGATTTCACTAGACAGAGTATTGTCTTTGTTTGGAAGAATGTTCTCGTATGTTGTGTAAGAAAAAGCTTACTGAATGTGAAAGGGGGGATTCAGAGCCTTTCTTCAAGGAAACTGTCCTTGAGATTTTGGAGGGCTTGGCGGATTGAGTCTTCGGATTGGCTAGAGTACTTTAGGCATATTAGGCGTTGAGCCACACGATAAATCCTATGTGTTTGGTGGTGCTTTGTGCAATTACGCTCTATATTTTTCCTTTCCTGCGCGTTGACAATGTTACTTGGTAATCGATCAACCGGGATGAAGGGGCCAGTCTATGTTTTGGGATTGATGGGTATACCTTGTCTGTGATTTTAGAGGTGATGCATCTAGCGGCTTCAATCACTGAATTGGGCAGTCCGGCCACTTGGGCTAACTTAAGGCCGTAATGTGGAACATGAAGGGTCCCGTCTCTAAGTTGAAACTGCTCTCAGGACATAACCCAATAAACCAAAACGAAGCCCATGTCAGTCAGCCTAAAGCAATTTAATGAAGAGACAGAAGAGAGGCGCACAGAGAGACCTTGAAATCTAAGCGGTTGTTTCCGATGTCTACGTAGAAGTGGAGGACCTTTACGTTTGGGTAGATGGTGGCTAACTCAGACAGATTATCCATATGGGTCGCAAACACGGTGTACCTGAAACATGTTCATCCATTGAAACTTGAATTATATCTGCAAGACAATTTTTTGTTTGAGTCAGGTAAAATCAGAGAGATAATCTTACGCTTTGAGTGATAAGAGATACTCGCAGCAGCTCCAAGCTATTGCAAATCCATCGGAGGAAGATGTTGCCCTCCCAAGTTCGTCCACGACTATCAGACTCCTAAATTTGAATTCACAAATGAAATCAAATGCGTCGGCGGCAATATTTCCCTATTCCTTTTGGACTTTTTTCTTAAACTATTCATTATTTCTCCACATCCTTAAATCCCGTCTGTGATTATTCTAGGAGAGGATAAGGATGATCAGTGATGAAGAGGGTGTAGAAGAGTTATTAGAATAACAGTGATACCAAGGTTACCTGTTGGAGACGTTCTGCATTATGAAAGCGGTCTCTCTCATCTCTGTCATGAACTGTGACACCAAAGGGTAAAGAATGAGTGAAGTGATGATACTGCTGTTCAGTACAGAACGCGTGGGTGCATTAACAACAATCATGTTCTTTTTGCTTTTTGTTGTATTAAATTCTTGTCTAGACTACCCACAAGATCCATGTAAAGTGTCCTTCCTGGTAGATTATGAAAATTTGTATCTTCATCCCACAATCATGACCGAAAAAGTTGTAAATTTGGAGATTCGTTGCTGGATAAACCAGTTTGGAAATTACAATAACAATGATAATCCACCAATATATGTCCATATCCTAGGCCTAGGCACAATAGCTTAAAGGATTACCGTGCTAGAATTCGACTCAAGGTTGTCCATTGTACCCATTCGTGTAAATATGCGGTCAACCACCCTTATAGTTGCAAAGCGAGCTGGGACGTAGCAGCCAATTTGAGCTAGAATCACTATTAGACACACCTGTTGGAGGTATGTGCTCTTTCCGCTCCTGCACGGAGAAAGTAAAAGACAAATCAGAGAGAATGAGGTTCGATAATTGATTTTGATTAATTGGATACTGGGGCAAATTTATCAGCAATGAAGGAGCTAAAGGTATGTTCCCTCACATGTTTGGACCCATGACAATCAACATGTTGGATGCTTCTGAAATGAAGATACTATTAGGCTGTAATACAAGTTGCCTTTGGAGTTAGACAAGAAAGGTGACATTGTATTATGTTAAATATTTATGGGATAGATTTCTTTTATAACCCTTGTGTCCAAGGTTTTATCTCGGCTGACCCATGGGATCCATATCCAAGGTCTTGACAGACTTTGGCACATGAGATTATGATAGGATAGAAAATGGACAGCACAACTTACAACAAAGTCATTATGTACGTTTTCAAGGATAGGATGCCTTCCGGCATCAATTGCAAGGGGGCCACTATCTGCCAAAAAATAGATAGGCAGAACATCCCGCACAAATAGTAAATAATCCTTCACCTTAAGTAGTGTAGAAAAAGTATTCCGGCAATAGTTTCCTATCTATGTTTGATTGATTATTCCTTAGTATTGGAATGCGTGATCGATAAATATTTGAGGATTCCATGGTAAGCGTGGCATACCTGTTAATTGAGGTCTAGAGTATCGATCAACTGGCTTTGTGGATATTGTATGAGCAAATGAATTGACAATCATATCTAGAAGACATAAAACCTCTGCAAGAAGTGTGAGTGCAGATACATCTTCCCTTATGGTGTCCATTAGAGCTGCATACAGATATAAAAAAAATACTGCAAGTTAGAAGAATGTGTGTACCAAAATTTGACTGGAACTATATAAACTGAGTTACTACAAAAAGTTGTGTGCGCATTCTCTACCTTCCAGACAGATTTCTGTACGTATGTAGCATTCTCCAGCAGCAGACTTATTCCTCACATTCAGCTTTACATATAAATTAAGACATGGAGAACGTTAATACAAAAACACACATTAACGTAGTTCCTAGTTAGCAAAAGGACCATTCTTCTCAAGGCTGAGAAGAACCATGGCCTTTCAGTTCGTCCCTGAACTGAAACCTTATTCATTACACTAAAGTTCACTTTTTACTGCTACCTTTAAAACTATTGACTACCATATAAGACTAAGTACCGAAACGAATCATCTGAAATTGTAGATGATGATACAACTTACAGAAGCAAGTTCCGGACTTGAGCAATGTAGGTTTTTCCCATGTTTGACAACCTTGGTTCCATTCCAAAATTTATAAGTCAGAGAAGCCATATAAGATTAAACGCTTAATTTCTATAAGGACATAGAGGACCTGAATGAACTTGCTTGGAAGTTTTCCTTGCACATCTTTCTGCGGAATGCTAAAGTAGAAGCCCTGCCTGTTGTTAAAGGGGATTTTTAGGTTTGGCAAGTTGAATTCCTCCCGAAAATTGCTGGCAAGATTGTGTATCGCTGTCAATGTTTAAAAGATATTAGATTAGCAGGAGGGTTGCCAAAAGGAAAAATTAGAAACTCAATAATAACTCAAGCAAATTCTTAACACACCTTCACTAGTATCACAGAAGGTCCTCCTTGCAATATCCAGAAGTCCATCAATCCCAGCCTTCAAAGCAAAACACTGCTGTGTCCGGGCGACAAAGGGAACCCGTGCATGGAGAACATCATCGTCAATAACTTCCCCAATTCTGGAACAACCAGAGGTCAAAAGGTATAGTTCTGTGATTTCTCTAATCGTATCAAAAATATTTTTCGGAGAGAATACGGAAGACATCCAGAAAGGAAGAATATATGTTCATCTTTTATGTCTATTAACCAGATCAAATAAGTGCGTACTTTTTTCTGATGGAAGCATATTTATCATTTTCACACACAGACTTGCAAATGTTGGTGAGGAGAAAACACTTGGCATCTTTAAGCACCTGCATTTTTTACAAGGGCGAGTGTGATTAAAGGATAGAGGCTTCCAGCTTATCAGCGTGGTTGCTACAGCACAACAAAGCACAAAAAAAAAAAAAAAGAGAGAATCAAACCACCTTAGCAAGTAGAGGCAAAGCATCCAATGCAGTCTTCAGTAAGATAATGCTTGAAATCATATTTTGGCTCCTCCTGGTATTGTCAAAACCTAGGACCGCATCTGTGACTTTCTGTGGCTTGAAGCAGAAGTGACAAAGAACTCGATCTGAGCAATGGGAGATGATGGCCAAGATTATCTTCAGATAATATGAATAAACAAGAACTAATCTAAACTAATCAGTTGCAGAGAAAAAAAATTCAGGATCTCCACTCTCTAAATTGCTTACCAGTCTCTTTTGGAAATTTGCGCAAAACCTGAGAAAGCCCAAAAAATAGTTGTTCATTGCTCATCAGCTCATCCTGGAATTACAAAAAAGGGTTCTCGGTTGATTAATGAATCTTCATGCAACAGATATATTCAGGGAACTGCACAATGATTCAAGCTCTATAACTAAAAAATGTACAAGGTAAACAACACTTGATACATTTGTGTGACAACAGGCTGTGTGCTATGACTAAGTACTTTTGGGGATGATAGAGCTTCAAAGTAGTTCCTGCGGAAATATGCTAAACAGAGCATGGCTAAACTAACCAGGCAATCCAGGCGAGTGTTGATAGTTTCAATATCTTTCAGAGGTTGCAACAAATTGGCACGAAGAAGCCTTGTCCTGAACAGCATATCATAAATGACATTCCATGATTAACAATTCTATTGGAAGAATGATGAAATGCACAAGATTAAGAACATTCTATGGAGATGAAAACCAAAAAAAATTTGAAATACTCTAACTAAAAAGAACAGTTTTTTGTCGGAAAGAGAGGCTTGACAGCCTAGTAAAATCTTTTTACCCTCCAACTGTTTTTGTTGTCTTAAACATCTGAAACAGACTTCTCTTTTTGTTGCCAGTGCCCCAAAGAGCATTATGGAAGGGTTCGATGATTTCCAAATTCTCAACACTGCCAGCAAATAAATAAATAAGGTACAAATGATTACTTACTAATGAGTTCATGAGAAAGCAGATAGATCAAAATACTCTAGAATGACAGTAGTATTACCTAGTTGCATCAATGTTCATGTGATCAAACGATCCGTTAAAAGTTACCTAATATACATCAACAGCAACATGAGACAGTTCCGTATATCAGAGTACTTCACTAACAAGAGAGAACAAACATGAATAACTGATACACAATAAATTTTCCGATGTCACTGAATTTACAACTTTCCCAATCAGGAACCAAAAAATTTACACATACCGTCAGTGAGTGGTTGGTGATTACCACGCCTTTTTCCGCTTCTATCCTGCCATGAGGCCACCAAACACAGAAGTTCAAAAAACCCCAAATAAGTTATTAAAGGTCAATACTACCTAACATGTCGAAGAAAGAATATGCACGATATGTATACCATTTAACTGCAGCTGCAGCCGCGGCCAAGGAGAGATAATACTGCTTATAGTAAGTGTCTAGACCAAGCGCCAAAGGCTCCTTTGCAGCCAAATTTTTAATTAGTATGGCGCCCTGAAACATTCAACCATAAATGCATTGAAAGATACATGAGCCCAAGTACCATAGACAAAGGAAATGTATAATAAGAGGTTCCCAGGTGTAACCTTGGTGTCATCGAAACAACCACGAGCTAAAACAACCTGAAGGAAGAGAAGATTGCATCATCTGACAAAAACCCAACTACATATGCGGCATACATTCCACATTTATGCACAAAATTATGCTTCTCGAAATAAAATTCCACCTTCTTGGCCGAGCAGTAAAACCTGTCCACCAATTCCGATACCCCAACCATGCCATCAGCAGCTAGCTTGTTTGGAGGAACAATGATCACAGACGGATCGTAGAGACGCACCAGAGTCTTCGTGTTCTGATACGAGCTGCTTGTCTCGATGTACTGAGAGAGATGCAGGGAAGCCGACCTTAGGTCAAAAGCAGCCATTCCGACCTGACGATAGAAATCCAAAATAACGCCATCTCCATTTCCGTTCCCGTTCTCAAATACCAAGGCACGAGGTGATCCGAACAGAAAAATTCCGCAGCAATTCGAAACAACAGATAACGCAGAAAGCTAAAGCATACATACGGACATTGTCCTGCAAATGCCATGTCTCGCGACGTAGTAAAGGAGAGAAGAAGAAGTACCTCTTTGGCGCGGTTCTCAATAAGGCCGGCGACGAAGCTCGATCTCTCCCCACCGTCGTCTTCCATTGTCGCTCCACCGAGCAGAATTTGGAATTCGAAAACCGAGAGTAACGTCGCCTCGAGTATGGAAAAAGCCCGCCAACGCTATTTATAGGTTCAGTCTCGCATCTTTTCACTTATTTGGGCTTTGGACCTTTGGTTGTCGCCTCTCTCTTTACCTTTCGTGGGCTTATGGCAAATGGTATAAAAGGTTCATTGTTTCTTGTCGAAATGATCCCCTTTGATCTTTTTCTGTACTTATCAGTTGGTTTAGACCAATGGGAATGATCTCTCAGCAAACTATTTCGTGCCTATCCAAAATCTTCCAAGGTTACAGCTTATTACAGAACCCGGGATTGTACAATACATATATATATATATATATACTCATACATATATAGGGAACTGAATCTGTTAAGAGTACCACATCGACCATATGTGAGGAAGATTAAGTCACAGGTTTTAGCTGAGGCTACGAGACTCTAGACAGCATTTTCCATGCTGGAAGCAAGAAACTTGGCGGAAAAGAGACTGGATGCCGTCGACCCATCTCTGTTTGTGGGACTTGCTCTTGCACTTGAACTCGAGAAGACCCTGTCCGGTTTTCAGACCAAAGTAGACTTCTTCCGAGCTGTTGTCGTCTCTCTCTTTCCTGTACGGCCATGCAGATAACTCGTCGCACACTCCATATACAACGCCTTCAATAAAGGAACAAGAAGATGAGAATGATGGGTTTCGGGTAAATAAATATATCCCATTAATTTGAAATGATGAGCAATACTAACATTTGATCTTCTTGGAGAATGCCCCTCCGATGTGTTTGCTTTTGAGTTTGATTATGACCTGATGAATAAGTAACTTAACTGTGTAAACCACAAGCACCCGGTCTGAACCAAACTGGTTCGATAGAAATCTGCTCGTTTCAAGTACCTGAGACTTGTTGTCGATGTACATAGACACGTGCTTCGTGCGATGAACTCCTGCAAATCCAGACCCATAATAGGAAAGAATATTTCAGGTTGATTCTTTGCACTCGACGTAAAATCTTAAATATAATACTTTATAAGATGGTGTAATGATGAAGAGAATTACCGTTTTGAGTGCATTGTGTCAGCTCGCCCTCAAACAGAAGATCCGATTCCTCCGATCTATATTGGAAATTTACTGGCCGACTAAAGTCGGAAAAGCTCCTCTCACATGGTGTTATTGCTGCTTTCTTCCTTGACTCCATTGGCATCCTTCTCTTCAGAGCCGCTTCTCCTCTCAGGGCTGAAACAGTTATGGAAAATCAGGTCAAATCTCATCCTACTACAGCCATATTACAGTAACCCGACGAGAGAAATTTGCTGTTTTCTCCACAAAAACACCAGAGTTTCAGATGCATTGACGAACGGGAATGATCATATCATTACCTGTTGCAGCTGCAGCTGTAAGAGTCATGAGATCACCAGGGCTATGGACGTCCATGGCAGAACTGACTGCAGAGGCAACACGGCTGTGATCGGCACCTGCCATCTCAGCCATCTCAATGCAGTGGGAGGCCAACAGCTCGGTGGCTGCCGCCCATGGCGATGCCATATCTGAGCCTGGCTCTCGGCAGGTCCCTGCTTTTGAGTTTGATTATGACCTGATGAATAAGTAACTTAACTGTGTAAACCACAAGCACCCGGTCTGAACCAAACTGGTTCGATAGAAATCTGCTCGTTTCAAGTACCTGAGACTTGTTGTCGATGTACATAGACACGTGCTTCGTGCGATGAACTCCTGCAAATCCAGACCCATAATAGGAAAGAATATTTCAGGTTGATTCTTTGCACTCGACGTAAAATCTTAAATATAATACTTTATAAGATGGTGTAATGATGAAGAGAATTACCGTTTTGAGTGCATTGTGTCAGCTCGCCCTCAAACAGAAGATCCGATTCCTCCGATCTATATTGGAAATTTACTGGCCGACTAAAGTCGGAAAAGCTCCTCTCACATGGTGTTATTGCTGCTTTCTTCCTTGACTCCATTGGCATCCTTCTCTTCAGAGCCGCTTCTCCTCTCAGGGCTGAAACAGTTATGGAAAATCAGGTCAAATCTCATCCTACTACAGCCATATTACAGTAACCCGACGAGAGAAATTTGCTGTTTTCTCCACAAAAACACCAGAGTTTCAGATGCATTGACGAACGGGAATGATCATATCATTACCTGTTGCAGCTGCAGCTGTAAGAGTCATGAGATCACCAGGGCTATGGACGTCCATGGCAGAACTGACTGCAGAGGCAACACGGCTGTGATCGGCACCTGCCATCTCAGCCATCTCAATGCAGTGGGAGGCCAACAGCTCGGTGGCTGCCGCCAATGGCGATGCCATATCTGAGCCTGGCTCTCGGCAGATCCCTGTGGCGGTCACAGAGGCTAACCCGGCTGCCAGAGCCGCGATGGAGACGGCAGAGTGGGCATGGGCGTTCTCCACACGCGCCTTGTCTTTCTTCTTGAGATTGCTGCTCGTGATGCTTGGGCTGGTTTGTTCCCTGCGTTGAAACCACTTGGATAATGGCCCTGATCTCCGCGTGCTGCTAACTGAGTTCGTGATTCTCCCTGCCTGAGAAATTGAACATCGTTGGATTCATACTCCAAACGTGATTGCGGAAAACCCAACCACGGAATCTAAAGAACGCAACAGATTTGGAAAACTGATGCAGAAACCAAAAGTTTCGGACTTTTGAATCCTTTTGTCATTCTGGAAAATGTCAAAGCCTGTAACTTTTGAATCAGAGAAACAATGTCCGAGCTGAACTGATCTCATTCTATCATGGAAAACGATGTACTAAACGACTAAAATCTGATCTCATTCGTTGAATCGTTGGTTCAAATTCTGGTACTGAGGCTAATAAAAGCTGGGTTTTTTTGTTACAGAATTTGAAATTGGAAAAAGGATCCCATACCACGAGCGGATCTGCAGCTGGGGACAGAACACCCGGGCTGTTCTGGGCAACACAAAACTGTTCTTGCTGTTGCTGTTGCTGTTGTTGTTGTTTCAGAGTGAGGGCTTTGGAGAATTTAGAAGGAGATGGACTCCATGATCTGGAGAGAAACTCCATCGGCTCCTTGAGTGTGTGAGGGTGAGGAATCGACGTGAAGAGCAGTTCGTCTCTGTAAACTCCGTCTTCAACCTCGTCCTCCAGATTCTCTGGCCAGTACATCGTCGGAGAACCGCCCTTCCATCCCGAGTAATCCCCAGTTGCCATTTTTTTTTTCCTCCTCCTGAATTTATCAAATGCAGAATCCGAATGACCAATCGCCCTTTTGGGTTAGAGAACTTTTGAATACTATTGTATATGAGGACAGTGGGATAGCAGCGGGCATAGAAAACAAAAAAGTTGTTTCCCCCTTTCCAACGAAAATAGAGGGAGGTAGTGGAGGGAATGAAAAGGTTGCATCTTTAAAGAATTCACGTGAAGAAGAAAGGCGATTCAGCTACTTTTGTTTTAAAAATCGAAGGTGCAAGAAACCAAAAAAGGTTGAGGAGAATGCAATGGTTGGAGGACGAGCAACCCTCTGATGGGGTTGAGAATATGAACTGTAGATTGAATAACAGAAAAGGAACAGACAGAAGAGAGGAGGAAGAGAGCATAACCAAACAAGCAAGATCATGGGAATCTTAATGGGCTCTTACTGGATCTGATTCAAACCAGCCCATCCTTAACATCGGCCCATTTTCCCACTGGTGCAAAACTAATGGGCTCTTAACATAAGGAAGTCCAAGAGCCCGTGTTTCCTCTGCTTTTCCTCCTCCCGGCATAAACCCTATTTACCCTTTTATCGTCGCCGATTTCAGATTTCTACACACTTCTTGTGGATTTCGTTCATTCATCGTCGTACGATGAGTTCTGCTTGCAAGAGATTACTCGGCAAGAGATTGGTCTCTTCTCTCGGATCTTCCCGCCCTAAATCACCGACAGTCGGAGCCGGCAATCGATTGATGCCCGCCGCCGCCGCCTCTCCTCTTCGCCGATTCTCCTTATCCAGGTGCGTAACCTCACTCTCTCTGTCGTGTACTCGTTCCCATTGCTTGTTTTCGTTCTGGGTTTTCCATATCTGATTGTACATTCTCTGATTCGGTCATGCCATGGATCGTGGTTAGGTGCCCATCTGAGCTGGGATGTGTCCAGTCGCTGTTACCGCTCCACAGTGCCGTGGCGGCCGCTTGCCTGACGTCGTGTCTCAGCACGACCTCTAGGAGCTGTCGGGCTCTCTCTCAGGGTACGGCTCTGCTTACATTTCACATGCATGCCTCTCGTAAACCTAGGACCGGCTCTTTTTTAACTCTCAGTAATTGGTCCGTGCAGGCACATAATTTCACCTCGGTATTTATTTACCATGTGGGATCCTTCAGAGTGTATGAGCGTAGTAGTAATAATATGCAAAATGCTGTCCTTGTCCCAGATGGAGCCGATGGCACGTGAGAGAGACGCATTCGCAGCCATTAGAGGGGTGGGCTCTTTTCAGCAAATGCTCTTATGGAATGGCACATCATATCATTATTTAGGAAGCTGTTTTAGATGGGATTTCCCCTTCTCCGACTTGTGGTGATGCTTTTGTGTTCATATGGTGTACAATAGAAACCCTGCCTTACGCTATATATGTAATATCTTTCGTCATAATTTTTTCAAATAAACAGTTTCTATAAGCATCCACAATTACACGCTTTCAATGCCGTCGTTATGCATAGAGGTCAAAACGTTATCTAGTGTCGGCGATCATGATAATATAAAAATAAGCAGCAGCGCATTGGAAGGCTCTAGTTCAGTTGGAAAATGATAAATCCCGAGATTGTGGGTTTGATTCTTTTTATATTTGAGTTTCTTTTGAACCGATCAGAGGTTTATTGTTCGAGATATTGTATGATGGCGGGATCGAAAGGCTGTTGCGATGGTTTCCACGGTTAAAAAATAAAAAGAAAGCAGCGCACGTTTAGTCTGAATCCCTTTAAATAAATTACGCAATCTGGTGTCCCTCGCATTAGTCAAAGTCAAACCCAAAAAGCTCAGACAAGCACAATATATATATATATATATATATATTTATAATCTTTTTGCTGCGGCGTAATAATATTAAACCCGAAATTAAGGTGTAAATTCTCACTCTCCTGTGTGGAAAATCTATTCGACGATTCTCTCTCTGGGTTCTGTTTGCTCTCCTTCCTTCCTGCTCTGGGTCGGAATCTATGGCGCTCCGTTCCACTTGATCGGTGGAGTTCTATCTTCAACTGCCGCAACTCTTTCTGTTAGCCTACTTCATCCTGGCTTCAGGTCTTTCCCCCTCTCGGGGAACGTGATTACACCTTTCAATTTTAGGTTCCGTTTCTCCGAGGAATCGATTCTACGAATTCGGTGGCCTAATAATCTCTCAATTCAAGGAGCAACTGTTGTTGGGAACGTGGGTTTGTTAGGGTTTTATATTTCGTGTTGATTTCTGTTTCGGTAGATGGCATACAATCCTCCGTTCCAGGTGGAGGATCAGACAGACGAGGACTTCTTCGACAAACTCGTTGATGACGACTGTAGTCCCGGCGAAGCGCAAGCGTCAGCTTTGGCGACGGGGGTGAAGCTGGAGGCCGGAAATGACTCCGATGATGCCAGAGCTTTTACGAATCTCTCCATCGGTGACGATTCTGGTGGAGATGGTACTTTGCATGAAGCAGAACCGGGTAGTGATGTTGCAGAAGCTACTATATCTGGTTCTCTGGATGCACGCGATGATGGCGAAGGCGATCCTTCAGCGATTGCTTCCGAAGCTGCAGAATTTGTCTGTAGTGATGCAAATGAATCAAGCAATGGAGGATTGGGATCGAAGGTGAGAGAGATGGAAGTATATGCGACAGCAGGGGAAAGCCATATACTTGATGGATCTGGAGGTTCTGGTATTAAAGAAGTCAGTTGGAGCTCGTTTTATGCGGATTCATCAGTCAATGGCGGTCACGGGTTTGGTTCATACTCAGATTTCTTGAGCGAGGAAAATTCCGGAGATTCACAAGGAAAATCGAAGGAAGATGTCACTGGTAGCGGTGGTGGGGACATAATCTCCAATGATACAAATAACAAAGGCATCGTTTTAGACAATTCGGTTGGTTTGTGGCAGGATCAGGGGGAACTCCACAGTACTTATGCTTATGCAAATGGGCAGGATGCGGATAAGAGTCAATACTGGGAAAATCTCTATCCTGGATGGAAATATGATGGAAATACTGGGCAGTGGTATCAAGTTGATGGTCATGAAAATAGCATGAATTTGCAGGGAAGCTGTGGCCATTCGACGGATAACTGGGATGGGGTTTCTGCTGAACAATCAGATTTTGCTTATCTGAGACAGAGTACTCAGTCTGCTGCTGAGACAGTGACTGAGACAGGCACAACTGGGAGTGTCTCTGACTGGAACCAGTTTTCACAAGTGAACAATGGATATCCAGAGCATATGGTGTTTGACCCTCAGTATCCAGGTTGGTACTATGACACAGTTGCTCAGGAATGGCGCACATTGGACAGCTACAATGCGGCTGCTCAAACCCCAGTTCAAGCCCATAATCAACAAGTTCAAAATGGCTATGTATCTAGTGGTGGATATACTGACCATAGCAAAAGTAGTGACATGTATGGTTGGAATCAGTCTTACCATGCCAACAATATCACATGGCAATCAGAAACTGCCGCTAGGGTTGAGACTTCTGTAACTTATTCTTTATCAAGCTTTGAAGGAAACCAGCAAATGAATAGTTACCACCGCACAGAGGCTGTTGCTGAACAGCCAGCAATTGCACAAACAATTGAAGAGATGAGTCAGGCACAATTTAAAGCTAATGAGATCGGAGTAGAGAGCTTCAGCCCTCCGCAAACTGGTGTGGGGATTGTCCATCAGAATGGAACAATGAATTTCTCAAATGATTTCTACGGTAGGCAGAAGTCTCCTGATGTGTCTCAACACTCATTTCAGAGCAGTCAACAGTTCTTTCAAGCTCCAACTGCTGGAAGGTCACCTGATGGACGTCCCCCTCACGTGCTTGTTACTTTTGGTTTTGGTGGGAAGCTAATCATTATGAAAGAGAATAATGGTTCTCTCCAGAATTCATCATTTGGGAGCCAGGTTGAATCCACAATGGCCTTTTTTTTAGTATATAGTATGCTTTACCAAGTTTCCAACCGCTATGATAAAGTTCAATATCACATTTAGTCTTTTTACTATTCTTGTTGTTATGGTTGTCGTGTATGAACTTATTTTTTGTTTATATCCTTAAAGCGGAAGCATTTTTTAATGCTCATCTAATTGTTGCTCTCCTTCTATCTGATGTGAAGGGAACTCTGGGAAATCCTATCTCTGTGTTAAATTTGGCAGAAGTTTTCTCTGGGAACGCCAATGATTCAAGTATGGGAGGGGACACTTCAGGTTACGTTCGTTGTCTATACCAACAATCATTTCCTGGTCCCTTGGTTGGAGGACATGTTGGAAGTAAAGACTTAAATAAGTGGCTTGATGAGAGAATCACGAGTTGTGAATCCCTTGATGTGGATTTTTCGAGAGGAAAACTTTTGAGGCTGCTTCTTTCTTTGCTCAAAATTTCATGTCAGTGTTATGGGACACTCCGGTCCCCTTTCGGCACTGATACAGCACAAAAGGTAAACAATTATGTTGGAATCTTTCCTCTAAAAGAAACATTTAGTAATCTTAAGTTTGCTTCACAACTTTATGGCCTCAACTTTTTTCATCCTTGTCTTTGTACTATGACAGGAGATGGATACTCCAGAGGCAGCAGTTGCAAGACTTTTCGCATTTGCCAAGAAAGATGGTATCCAAAATGTTAGTTATGCAGCTTTAAGCCGATGCTTGCAGCATTTACCACCTGAAGCACAAATGCAAGTGAGTTTTTATCATAAATTATGTTTCTTTTCTAGGATAAAGTCGTTCTTAGTCTATAGGTCTTTCTCTGTTCTTTCATTACTCATTCCAAAGATTTCTTCAGGTAACGGCTTCAGAGGTTCAGAATCTTCTTGTTTCTGGTAGGAAAATAGACGCCTTACAATGTGCACAAGAAGGCCAGTTATGGGGACCTGCTATTGTTATCGCAGCACAGCTGGGGGATCAGGTTTCTTTTGCTTGATACTATAGTCCAAACTTCTGCACAGAGTTGTGCTGTGTCTCACAGTTTTAGGTTCTTACTCTTGTGATTGTGTGACTAACTGGGTTGATGTCTCAAATCTGATGCAGTTCTATGTTGATACTGTGAAACAAATGTCACTTTTCCAGCTGGCACCCGGGTCACCTTTGCGGACATTGTGTCTGCTAATTGCTGGGCAACCAGCTGAAGTATTTTCCATGGGAAGTACAGGTGATATCAGTCTTCCTGGCTCAATGCATATGTCTCAATCCCAGCCCCAGGTGATTCATAGACTCTCTATTTTTTTTTCCATCAGCCAAATAATAGAGTCAGGGCTATGTAATAGGTGGCATGGTAGGAGGGAGATGAGGGATGTGTTCTTGTATGGCAGGAAACTATTTGACTCTTCTATTGCTAAGAATCCACATGAAAGACATTTTTCAGGATTAAATGATCCCTAATATTGTATCTATCTCTGAACTTAACTATTTGTTTCCACTGTAGTCATTTTGATCTAGTAATCTGTTAACACTAACAAAGATAAGGACAACAGAAATGAACGTTTCGGCTCATTTATAGCTATAATGGCGTGAGGCTTAATTGCAAAGAAGATTCCACCTGGACAGTTATATACTTCAGCGGTGGTATAAGGAAAAAAGACTGGGTCCTTAGGCAATGTCATTTTGTAATCTGTGTGGAATAACCTACAAAATAAATAATTTAGCAACAAGAAAGTCAAACATCTTAACTGGTTTATTTCTCTCCCTGATGACCTCGAGCTGCAGTTTGGAGGCAATAGCATGCTTGACAACTGGGAAGAGAATTTGGCTATAATAACTGCAAACAGAACTAAAGACGATGAGCTTGTGATTACTCATCTTGGAGATTGCTTGTGGAAAGAAAGGAGTGAGGTGGGTTTCTGCCCTGTTGAATGCTCTTTGCATACTACATCAATTATGCTATCATTAGAACTTGGATAACTGTTGTGACCCAGATTATCGCAGCACATATTTGCTATTTAGTCGCCGAAAGGAACTTCGAGCCGTACTCTGATGGTGCAAGACTCTGCCTTGTTGGAGCGGATCATTGGAAATATCCTCGAACTTACGTCAGTCCGGAGGCCATCCAGGTGCGTAACCTCACTCTCCAAAGCCCTCGAACTTATATATCTATATATATATGTATGTATATGTATGTATGTATGGATTTGCCCCTCCTATGCGCATACATACATGCACACGATTCGAAGCAATTCAAGCAAGCTACGCATTCTTTTTCTTTTATACGGAATGATTCTGATAAACTTCTTATTTGTTGGCTGATCTAAATACTTGAATAGAGGACAGAGTTGTATGAATACTCTAAGGTGCTCGGAAACTCTCAGTATATCCTGCTTCCATTTCAGCCGTATAAGATCATATACGCCCACATGCTGGCTGAAGTTGGTAAAGTTTCAGATGCGCTGAAGTAAGGATAAACTAATCCATTTTACACTTATTTCTCATTTGCCGGGTCATACTTAGCTTCTTAACGTTGGTTCAGGTACTGTCAAGCAGTAGTAAAATGCCTCAAAACTGGCAGAGCTCCTGAAGTGGAAATGTGGAAACAACTTGTTTTATCGCTTGAAGAGAGGATCCGTATCCACCAACAGGTATATCATAGTTGATTTTTGGTTCCAATAAAACTACTTTGCCTTGTGGCTTTAGCTGTGGTTTTTGGCTGTGAGGCTGTTGAATTTCATCTGTTTTCGGTTTAGTTGTAAATTGTTCACTTCAGCTATGTGACTTGGTGGATACATAACTTTTCCTGTTCAGATTTCAAATAGCTTTTTATTCTGATATGGTTTTTATTCTTTAAGTGGATTTTTTTTATGTGCAGTTTTCCAACTTAAAAAACATTGAACTTTTTTAGACATCGTTATTGATGTTTTCAGATGTTGGCAAGGCTGGAAGCAATCTAGGTTTTAATCTTGTGTGCTATGTTTAATGATTGAACTTAATGGACATTGCCAATTTCAGGGTGGGTATACTGCAAATCTTGGCCCAGCAAAACTAGTTGGGAAGTTGCTAAACTTTATTGACAGTACTGCACATCGTGTTGTTGGAGGCATGCCTCCGCCTGCACCATCATCGTCATCGACAGGAAACTATCAGGTAAATGAGTATAGCCATCAACAACAAGCAATGGCTAGAGTGTCAACTAGCCAATCAGCCATGACAATGTCATCATTGATGCCATCTGCTTTAATGGAGCCGATACGTGAGGGGGATGGTAATGTTAGCACAATGACAGTTCAGGCTAGAAGTATATCAGAACCGGATTTCGGTAGGACACCGAGAAAGGTCTATATCTTGAAAACTTCATCACCAAAAAGGCCAAGTGTCGGAAACATGGACATTTATATAAGATCTGCGTTTTGCTTATAGGATCAGGTTGACTCTTTCAAAGAAAAAGATGTGGACGGGATGTCGCATGATAAATCATCAGAGTCAGGGGCAGGGACAGGTTCGCGGTTTAGTCGCTTTGGTTTTGGAATACTGAAGAACACAGTTGGGAGGGTCTTACAAGCTAGGCCAAGTCGAGAGGTACAACACTCAGTTCCTTGTTTCGGAATCGACAGATGTTTCTTTGAGCTAAGTAAGTCTAATTGTTTTTATTGAATTGAAGGCGAAACTGGGTGAGAAGAACGAATTCTACTATGACGAAAAACTAAAGAGATGGGTAGAGAGGGGCGTGGAACCCCTGGCTGAAGAATCTACATTACCACCCCCTCCAACAATGGCTGCATTCCTTAACAATTCACCGGGTTCTGAAGAAAACAAGCATGACTTGAATAACGAGATGTCTCCGCCTAGCGGGAACTCGAGTTTCGACAGCCCATCTATCCCTAGCGGCTCGAATCAATTCTCGGCTCGTGGACGTATGGGTGTGCGTGCAAGGTAAGTAAACCAATTGTTTCGAAATCTCTAGCACAAGGTGTGATTTGTATTTGGTTACAATTTTTTTTTTGTGTTGGCCAGATACGTTGACACATTCAATCAAGGCAGTGGTGGAAACCCAGCAAGGAACACGTTCCAGTCACCACCATCTGTGAAGAAACCATCACTCCCAACAAACACAGCAAAGTTCTTCATCCCGACCACACCAGTAAACAGCTACCATGGAACAGAATCCACGGCCGAAAACTTGCAAGAAGAGAACTCAGCTCTCGCAGCAACAACTAGCCAGCCATTCCAGTCCCCAACATCATCATCATCATCATCATCCCCATCAGTGACTACTATGCAGAGATTTCCAATCATTGACAACATTAAACGAACCGGATCAGAAACAAACGTCAAAGGGGGTCTTCCTCCATCTGACAATTCCAGAAGAACCTCTTCATGGAGTGGAAGCTTCGATAGCTCCAGCTCCTTTTCCAAATCTTCAGCATTTGCACCTTCTACCAGCCCACTGGCACTGAATTCTAGTAGCAGTTTCGGCGATGATCTCCAGGATGTCCAACTGTAAGTTCCAAAACCAGGTCCCTCCGGTTGCAAATAGTTAGCTTTTAACTTATGGGTATGGTTTCTCTTTTTTTTTTTTTTGCCTGATGAAAAAGGCACATACAAGTGTGATATGCATGTTTTGTACAGTGTTTGGTTGGTTCTTCTGTCAGTTTCTTGGAGAGAATAATTTGTTTAGGAGTAGTAATGTTAATGATAATAATAAATCCTTAATTGGGTTTGTAACATTGATTCTTGATCTTGAAATGTAATAATCATCCTGCATTTTGGCAAATTTATTTCTTCCCAGGTTGACCCGCCATTGTTATTTGAAGGAATAAATCCTGGCTCCGTTTGTTGTTTTTACCGTTTGTCTACTATATGGTACACGATAGATGAACCTTGATGACAATGATAATACCAACCACTGACTGAAGAAGAAACAAAAAATAAAAAAACCTGCCGTTTGGTCTGCAGCAAGGGAGACGCTCCGCTGTTTTCGCTGTAATCCACGGTGTTAGGTTAAGTTAATTAACCCAAGACGAGTTAGTTTGTTTTTGTTTAAAAAATAGAATGAAAGCACGTGCGAGAGAAATCCGCACGTGCGTAAAAGAAGGTACGAAGGAAATGTGTCGCTTTCCTTCTCGATCTTTCCGCTAAAAAGCGGTGACGACGGACGAACTGATGCATCTCCCATTTCCGCCGTAATTCTTCCTTTATATTTGTATTCGGGGGTTTAGTTGTTCTTCTGTCTTCGAATTTTCCGAATCGCTCTGTTGTCATCGTCATCGCTGGAAGATGAGCGCGGGAGAGCTTCTCAATATCGAGCCGCTGGAGCTCAAGTTTCCATGTGAGTGGATCCATTTGTTTGTCGTTGAATGATTTGTGGATTTCTAGGGGTTTTTTTTCTGTTTGATTCGGTGTGCGTTTCCTGATCTGAGGTCTTTATTTTCCTTAAATCTTATTTCTTCTGTCCCTTTGTGTTTGGATTTGCGATGTAGTTGAATTGAAGACTCAGATCTCTTGTTCTCTCCATGTGTCGAATAAGACCGATAGCTATGTTGCATTCAAGGTATGTTTTTCTCCTAAATTTATTCTCGATTTCGTATTGTGATTACGAGGAGAAATTCTCTCCTCGGCTGCTGGAAAACTGTTGGGGAAACGAGCATAAATATGGGGAAATCGGTGAAACCATTCGTGTGTGTTCTCTTTAGTGGTTACTTTGATCTAGAATTCTGCTCCTTCGATAAGATGATCCACTGAATTTGCGATTCAACATGTTTCATGAATGTCTCTGATTCTCTCTCTCTCTAGTTACTGGATCAATTTGCGATGGGTGATTTGTCTGCGGGACTGAATGTGTGGTTAAATTGTTTGAATGACGTGGTAGTTGTGTTCAGGTAAAAACCACAAACCCCAAGAAGTATTGCGTTCGTCCCAACACGGGAGTTGTTCTCCCTCAATCCAAATGTGACATCATAGGTACTCATTGTTCCTGTCACTTGTCTCATGCATATTTCTTTGCCAAGTTGCATCGCATTCGAATCTATGCTTGTTTTTTGGTTTAGTAACCATGCAAGCGCAGAAAGAGGCCCCACCAGACATGCAATGCAAGGACAAGTTTCTCTTGCAGAGCGTTAAGGTGCCCGAGGGCTCGACTCCTAAGGATATCACTGCAGAGATGGTAATTCAATCACATTGCCATTTTCTGCTCGTGTTCCCTGCTTGGTTTGAGTCTACTGATGGTGAAGTTTGTGTGGCTTTCTTTTGGATTTTGTCTGTTTTTTAGTTCAACAAGGAAGCTGGAAATGTGGTGGAAGAGTCCAAATTGCGAGTGGTTTATGTCCCTCCTACACAACCAATTTCTCCTGTAAAAGAAGAACCCGAAGAAGGTTCTTCCCCCAGGGCTTCTGTTTCCGAGAATGGAAGTGTAACAGCTTCTGAGCTTTCTAGTGTCAGTACTCCTGTCTCTCTTTCCTTTATGCTCTTTTTTACTATTCTTTTGCTTTAACCTAATGGTGTCTTGTGTGTCACAGGCTGCAAAGACGACTGAGCGGCTTGCACCTGAGGACAAATCTTTTGAGGTAAAACTTGAATCACAATGATATTTTGTTGGAGTTGGACGAGGTGATTGCGTTATTTGATGTCTTCATCTCAGTGCTAAAGCATACTCTAGAAATATACCATTAGGCGTCTAGTTCTCTTGGTGAAGGATATAGTACAAGCATTGATTTCTCTATCTGGCTGTTATTTTTGAACGGGAAAATCCAGCTTTACAGCTTCCTTTTAATAGTTTTTCTATTACCTTGTTTCTCGTTTCTTCCATGAACCATGACAGTTGGTTCATTTAAATGTGTTCCATTTCTGCTTTATCATTGCCTTTCTGCACTCTTATGGTTTTAAGTTCGCTGCATAAGAATTGCATAAGAGTTATATAAAGGAATGTGTTCGCAGGCAAAGGCTCTCATTTCTAGGCTGACAGAGGAAAAGAACAACGCTATTCTGCAAAGCAACAGGCTTCGCCAAGAACTAGTAAGTAACTTGTCTTGCGACTTAGAATAACATCTCGGTTTTTCAAAAAACCCGTCTGTGAATATCTGGCTACCAAGCTTGAGACTTCATAGATTAACCTTTGCCCTTGACCAGTGTGCAAAGATACGTGATACCCTTTTAATTTATGCGGTAGTCAGTAGATATATGAACCCTAACAAGAGCTTATACGGCCACACATCATGTAGGAATTACTTAGGCGTGAGAGCAGCAGAAACCGTGGAGGTCTGTCTTTGATGAAAGTCATCTTGGTGGGCTTGGTCGGGATTGTGCTTGGGTACATTTTGAAGAAATCTTAAGCAGTTTTCCAGGGTACAACATTTGAAGGCGCTCTCCGTGTGTCTAATCAGGTGCCATATGCCTAGTGATGCTGAAAGAATCAGGAAAAAAAAAAGAGGGAAAGGGAATAATAATATGGTGGAATCTGAGACAAGGGCTTATGTTAATTTCCTAAACTCTGGGAATTTGAACAATGGATTTAACAGTGCATTCTTTATGTAACGCGTAGTGGGTTGACTCTGTCTTCGTGTCAGATCGGAGAGACCAGACTTGTGGTAATTCCAAAGAACTGTCAAAATAATTTAGAGATTGAATGTTGGTTGATGCTTTGCATATTATTATGCCCTACTATGATTTTATTGATGGAAATGCAACTATTTGGCTTCAACCCACCCTTGGGTATTGGTGCGGCTTCAGGTCGTATAAAGTTTGATATTCGCATTTTGTTTAGAAATGAAAATTTGCCCCTCGGAAATCATACGGTAGGTTACGAGTATAAAGGCAACAACAACGATTGTACAATGGGGAATCAAGTGCCTATACTTAGTATCTGTGGTAATACAAGCCCCAAAAATACGAGTACAATATAAAATATGAACAGGTCAACGCATCAAACCAGTTCGACCATACCATGTATGTATTATTTCAAAAGACACTAACAAAATGTACGTGTGAATGTATATCTATATACATCCCAAAGATCAGTCCATATTTTTAGAGGGAGATAAGAGAGTACCCTAACAACATCCGGGGTGCTCCAAAAACTGTCTTCCAAGATTTACGGAGAAAGCAAGCGAGAGTTCAATTTCTGCGGCGCCTCGGAGACAACGCGTGGGCCGGTCATGCAGGATCTCGTTGCTCAAGCACTGCTATTTCTCTCACCACCTGAGCTTTGTCTGCCTCGAACCTCTCGTCCTCTGCCATTCAAACACACACAATAATCTCATAACATGCACAATCACCTTATTAATCAGCTTGCTTCCACTTTTCTATACGAAGTTGCCAAGTCAAAGTCCACATCAACATAGGCTTTCAGAAACAAAAGCTTTTACCGATTATTAGGGTTTGTATTTCCCTGTATTGGGTGGCAAGTTAATCTACACAATTGGCGATAAATTAACAGCGGCTATGTTCGGTTCTGCACCTTCTTCTAAGTGTTCGTTTCATGCACATCGACAGGATGTTCAGAAACCAAACCTGTTTCCCTTTTACTGACGTGAAAAACACGCCCCCTAAAATTAACAAGGCTACAGGACAGTTGCATTCCTGAATTGGTGACACAACCTTCATGTAACAAAATGTCATGTATACCTTTGTCAGGTTTGAAATCGGCCAACAGTCGCAGAAGCTTGTTTCTGTTTCCCGCAAGAATGTTGACGATGTCTGGAGGTTTGTTTTGGTTCGCTGCAAACAGCTGTATAAATGTAATAACATCAGTGAACCTGGACGACATTTCAAGTTGTTCGCTACTAAGGCTCAGTTAGAATGCCATTAACTAATAGATATAACCACAATGGATTTACCAGCACAACTGTTCGCCAACTATGGCGATTACGTTTCAGTATGGAATTAAATAGTGATTGACAACTTAATCGCTCCACTCACAGTAGATATTAGCAAGAAATGAGATAGGTACCTTGAAGACATGGAAAGCTTCAATCTGGATGCTCTTACTTGATTCCTGAAAATCAGTGTTTCATTCACAGGCTTGAGTTTAGTCCAAACATCAATAAAATCTTGTTTGGCAGCAGAATGAAGCTTCAAGAACAAAAAGTTCAGCAATCGAGTAAAGCATCATACTCTGAGAAGATTCATGAGAATCCTCAAGTTATCCCTAGAGCTCACGTATTTCGTCATCACAGCTGAATTTGATCGATCCAGCAATATATCACCCAACAACTGGCACAATTCATACAATACCATACATTAGACCGTTCTATACGTTGGTATATGCTTTCATGCTTTTAATAAGCTATATAACCCTCTGGAAGTTACTCTACCTTAACAGCCTGTCGTCTGGTGATATAATTACTGGATTCGAGAAGCTTTGAGTTATACTCCGCAAAGAACTGAAAACAAAAGGATAGAGAATCTTACAAATGAAATTCAAGGTTCAAGCCATCTAAAAAAGGGCGAAATGCCGAAAACACGCATTTAATCACAAATCTCCTCAACTGGTAACTTAGTCAGAGAACTTACCCAATCGTAATTATTAATGAGAAACTCGGCAACAGTAGACTTGTGTCTGGTCAAGAGCTCCTGCGACAAAATTTTACAGAATTTGGATAATGTTATATATTGGCAGATAGGAATCAAGATGAGAAGATCTAAATAGTAATTCGAGTGGAATTTAAAGAATGCTGCAGTATTCTGGAACCTTAAAGGTTGCAGCAGCGTCAGCGGCAATGTCGAAATTGGGGAGCTGTATGAAATCAAAAAACTTCTTCATATTCTGTGACTCCAAAACATATCTGTATTCCAGGAAGAAGGATATATTTCAATATAATGAGCCCAAAAAACACTATGAAAGACTGTAGCTACTGTATACAGCTTTAGTAGTGCATTGTAATTGTTTTTGAATAGACAACCGCAGCAATTGCATAGGTTGTATATACTATAGCTACTATTTTGTTTCTGCTCACTTTGCCACAGCCTGATGGCGGATGCACTCCCTCAACATAGCACCATAATGTAAAGCCATATCCGTATTCTCATAGCTGAGACAACCACAAAGAATCAGCACAAAAAACCACAGAAAAGACAAATCATTAAGAAATCTTTTTTGATGTGAAAACCCTAATGGGAACATCGATGAAATGCCTACTGCGACTTGACTTCCTTAATATGATGCCTTCACCAAACTCACCCTTCTATTAGAATATCCATAAGATCAATGTTGGCTTCCAGATAGTCAGATGCAATCAGCCTTGAATTGACTTGTTGCCTTTGTAAATTTGCAACAACTTGTGTAGCATCTTTCCTGGCCTATAATGACAATTACATATCTGCATGAGTTATGAATCCAGCACGACAAAAACATATCCGACAGTTCCCTACGCTCAACTTGCTACCCAAAACCCAACTCCTTGTCAAGATTACCTCCAAGTTGAGTTTCGGAAGACATCTGATTAAGAGGCGAAGTGTATTCTCCTTGAAGAATTCCTGAGTCAACTGGGCACAAGCTTCAGTAACAGGCTCAGCTTCGCTGTTTCCATATAGAATTGACTTCATCTCCCGGATATTCTTGCTTAGTTCCGCCATCTGCGACCAAATACCAGCCTCATGCTGAAATTCAGACCCTAAAACCGAGTTGTAATGAATGATTTACTGATAGATAAAAAAGGTATCATCCAAAACCAAGTAGCCAAGCAATTTGCATCATCTTAAGCTATCCAATAACTCAAGTGAAGCACCTACGTTCTCTTCAACTGAAAAATAAAGGAATAATATCTAGGTCACCCAGATTCCGTCCGTACCAAAAGGTTTGGGAATCCTTCGGAATGGGAACCAGAAAGCGGGAAACCAGGTTTGATGAGTACAACAGATCATTTCACAACTTCATTGGCGATCAAACGGAAGCGAAAATCACGTGAATAATCAATCCATGAATCAGATCAGCTGAACCGAATGAAGACAAAAGCAAACGAATCCAGACCTTCTCCTCTCGCTTGGATTCTCGGAGGTCAGGCAGAGAGGTGGCTTGATCGGCATAGAGGAGGAGATCGCGCGTCTGGCGTACGATATCGGCCGGAGTGCGAGGCTTCGATTTGAAGAGGCCCTTCATCTTGGCACCGCCGACAATATCAGACTGATCGGTCGCCTCTCCGACGGATCCGCTTCCGCTGACGAGGTGCTGCGACGAGAGCCTCTTCACCGAATTACCGGAGGCCCTGCGCCCAGCGCCTCCCTTGGAGACACACCCCCCAATCCTTACCTCCCTCTAGAAACAAGCGAATTTCACGAGAAAACTGTCAAACCTTCTCACGAACTCCGATTCTCTATATCTCCCCTAGGGTTTCGCCATGCCCGTCTCCTCCTCCATATAATTTTGGATGCCTTTGATATTATTTCCCGAAATTTAGCTACGATCAAACTCCTAACAACCCTCTCTCTCTCTCTCTCTCTCTCTCTCTCTCTCTCTCTCTCTCTCTCTCTCTCTCTCTCTCTCTCTCTCTCTCCTCTCCCTGATGTTGAAAATGGCAAATGACGGCTTCGACCATACAAGGATGTCGGGTATTTCGTGGACTATATAATTTCCCGAAATTTAGCTACTTTTTTTTCTTTTCAAAACCATCTCTTCTCTTCAACAAACAATAATGATCTTATATTAGACGGTCGACCGTATCTTTCTTACCAATGATATAAGATTATCAGAAACTAAGAGTTCGCTTAAAGGAGACACGGCACGAGTTCTGTAGATAACGTAGAGATGATGAGAATTAGGGCAAAACCCGTGGAAGCGTAGACAGAGACAGAGATCCCATTAACATGCAAATTAGCAGAGAAAACGTGAATAAATAAACACACACCACTCTTCTCTCAAAGCCCCAACTGGCTCTGAACCTCCAAGATTGTGTCGGCCGAGTTCTTGAGTCGCTGGGCCTCTTCCTCCGTCATATGAACATTCGTGACCCCGATCACCCCGTTGCGACCCAGCTGAGCCGGCAGGCTCAAGAACACATCCCTGTCGTCGATCCCGTAAAACCCTCGAGCCAGAACGGTGACTGGGTGGATCTTACGCTGGTCACGGAGAAGGGTCCGAGCCAGACTGGCCACCGAGTAGCCGATTGCCCAGGAAGTGTAACCCTTCAGGTTGATGACTTCGTAGGCGCTCTCCACGACCACTTTGTGAATGTTCTCTAGGGTTTGTTTCTCGTACGCAATCTGCTGCTGTTCCAGGAAGCTCAGTACAGGAATTCCTCCTACGCTTATGCTCGACCACAGAGCCACCGAGCTGTCTCCATGCTCTCCCACGATGTAAGCCTGCATCAATCATCAAACCCCCAAACACCACCACTGAGTCAGTTTCAAATTCCCCAATCATGACTATTTATCAGATAAGATCTATAAACCAACACATACAACACAAGTGCCTGAACGCGTAGTGGATATTTGACAAACTCCAGGGGAAAACACACTACTTGTGAATTGTGACTGTCTATCAGTAATGTTAATCATTGATAGAAGTTGAAATGGATTCCTGCATAATGGGCACCGCCACTACAAACCAAACAAGGACAGAAAAGTGCACCAAATGGTCCATGTGTCCTCCATGTAGGTGGATTGAAGTGTCACCCTTTACGAAAGGGAACAAAGCAGTGCATCCATCACATCATCATGCAGAATTTCTGGGGAAAAAATGGAAATTTTCGACTTTTTGTATCCATAGATATAGTAAACAGACCTAATTGCTGTAACTTTCCCACCAGTTCGACGACAAGAAACTACCAAATTTTTGGGCCCAGACGAAAACGAAATACACAACAAGACTAAAAAGTGGATAGCTTTGATTCGATTGGTTGAGGAAAACAGACCTGCACGTCCTGAGCGTTGACGTCGAGATGATCGGCGATCAGGAACCGGAAGCGGGAGGAATCCAGATTGGTGCCCGACCCGATGACCCGGTTGACCGGAAAACCCGAGAGCTTCCAGGCCACGTAGGTCAGAACATCGACGGGGTTGGAGACGATGAGTAAGAGGGAGTCGGGGGAGTGCTCGGCGAGAGGCGGGATGATCTGGCGGAAGAGAGAGACGTTTCTCTGGAGGAGATTGAGCCTGGACTCTCCGGGATTCTGACGAGCGCCGGCGGTGACGATGCAGAGATCGGAACCGGCGGTGATGTTGTAATCGACGGAGGCGAAGATCTTGGTGCGGGGGAGGAAAGCGGCGGCGTGCTGGAGATCGAGCATCTCGCCGCGGAGTTTGTCGGGCTTGGCGTCGACGAGGGCGATCTCGTCGGCGAGATCCTGTGTGAGGATGGTCTGAGCAATAGCCATGCCGACGTTTCCGACGCCGACGACGGTTACCTTGATCCGGCGATTGGACGCGGTGGGAGGATCGGAGTTATGGATGGGCTTGAAGAAGGCCCGGGTCAAGTCCAGGCCACCCGGTCCGAGCGACCGCGGCGTAAGTGGGACGGTGGATTTATATACGGAGAGTGGGAGACGACAACACAAGGAAGAAGCCACGTTTGTCCATTTCTTCCGGAGAATATCTGAAACTTACGACTTAGACCACGTGATTTCGGATTTAAAATTTTATTTAATTTAATGGACTGGTTTTTGGTCACGCCCACTGTTTGGAAGAAGAATGGATCGCGGTCCTTGTTTTGTGATTTGGCTATATGACAAACGTATTTAGTCGTATGGAAAATATGCGAGATCGTCGTAAAGCAATGGGGAAACGGGTGACGACGACGACTACTTGTCCTCACCACCAGAATTACCGTACCATATGGTAACGTCAGCATTCTATGCGTTGTCGATCTCCTATTGGTTGGTCAAATTCCCACATCGAAGCAGCTGCGATTCGAAAAATAGACAGAAAGGACTCTTCATCCCCGTTAAGACAAATGTCCCCTCACGATTGGACAAGGGCCAAATTTACCACCACGACCTGTCCTTGGTTATTTTACAGAAATGATAAAACACTAATGTGATTAGGGTTTCCCATGAAAAACAAAGGCGATTCAGACCACTTCATTAATCACACACAAAATAGAACAGACAATGACGAGACATAGATTGCAACAGCAAAAGCAGAACGTGGAAGAAAGGAAGAACCCTAGACGGCAAACAGAACACAGACACTAACAACAAAACTCAAAGACACGATACTGTTCATACGTGGAACTTAAACGCACAAGAAAGAGGATTAAGGGCGTGGATTAGGGACAATGAGTGTCGAGGAAAAAGAGCTGCTATTACTGGAGGAGACCGAGAGCTTTGGGATAGAGATCCAGAGAACGCCATGGACGAGCTTGGCTTTGACCCTCTTAAGGTCGTACTGCTGGGGGTTGAAGATCATGGACCCTCCGTACTTACGGCCGGAGTAGCCGTGATCGGCTAAGGAGGGGTCGTCGGCAAAGAAGTGGACGGCGTTGCCGTCGACCCAGTATTCGAGGTCCGAGTCCGGACAACCAGGCATGTCCACCCTCACCACGCACCCTGTCTTCATGTCTTTCAGCTCGTACGGAGCTTCTGTTCCCGCTTTCCGGAACGGGTTCCTCGCTGCGAAACATCACACGTACACAAGACGACCATTTAAACCATCTCTTCCAGGGTTTTAGACCCAAGAAGAAGAAGAAGAGAAAGGCGACAGCTTTTTTCCTTTGAAGGGTTATGTCATGTACCCAGAAACAAAGGCAGTGTCTTTACTCTCTGTAGACATGTACATAAGATCCAAATGCGAAAGAAAAACAGCGATCTTGAACGTTAACCGAAAGAGAGAAAAGGAGAGTGTATATATTCGGGAGAAAATGGAAGAAGAAAGAAAGAGTGAGAGAGACGTACGAGGAGGAGGAGAGGTGGCAGTGGAGGAGGAAGAGGTAGCAGTCTGCATCCAACTCATCATAGCATTCACACACCAACGTCTTTCGCCTGCTTGATTTTTGGGACGAGCTCTCTCTCATCTGCCTCTCTTTATAGCAGAAGAAGAAGAAAGCTGTGTTTCCTTTTGGGCTTCCTCGACGGCCCATTATTATTATTATTATTAACTGCTTTCATGAGCAGAAGAAGAAGAGAGTTGTGTTTATTTTTGGTTTTTAGGGTCCCAATTTTGGCAAACTTCGAAGTCTGTTTCGAATCACCCAAAAAAATATTAAATTTTGGATCTAAATTTTTTGAACTGAAAAAATTTAAGCTCAGGTTTGGTCTGAAAATCCGATATATTTTAAAAAAAATAATACCAAAAATTTTTAAAAATATCTGTTAAAAAAATTGGACGGATCAATACGTGAGTTCGACTCTGAATTCTGTAGAGTCGAGTTTCGGACTTAGTACCCAAAAAAATCAGACCGATTCGAATTTAAACCTTCGGATTGAACGCAGGGTCGAACCTGGTCGGTCAGACCTGCCGGCTTGACATCCATAGTATTAGGGCTGGCCGGCTGGGCACAAATATCTGAAAATCGGGTATCCGTCGGATATCCGTATCACGGATACCCGATTTTAGGGACTCGTAATTTTCAAATCCAAATCCAAATCCCGATTTTTCAATATCCGTGAATTCGAATTCAAATCCGGATAATAGGATTTTTAAACCGGAGACCCGCGGATACCCGACTATTATGATTATAAATAATTATATCTTATATTTATATAATGTTTTATAAAATATAATTATTTTAGATTAAATAATATCATATTTTTAATATTAATTCAAAAAAATTAAATTTTTTATTATTTATCTCTTATTATCTCTTTTATCTCATATATTTTATCATAATTCATCAATTTTTATAAATATATCTTCATTTTTTGAAAATTTTATATATGAATATTGTTATTTTTCTTAAATAAATCTGGATCCGGATATCTGCGAATACTCAACCATTACTTCGGATACTCGTACCCCGGATACTCGTAAATACCAAATCCCGGATACAAATCTTATAGTTAAATAACCGAACCTTCCGTATCCAAATCAAAATCTCTCGATTTTGGTCTGAAAATCCGATATATTTTAAAAAAAATAATACCAAAAATTTTAAAAATATCTGTTAAAAAAATTGGACGGATCAATACGTGAGTTCGACTCTGAATTCTGTAGAGTCGAGTTTCGGACTTAGTACCCAAAAAAATCAGACCGATTCGAATTTAAACCTTCGGATTGAACGCAGGGTCGAACCTGGTCGGTCAGACCTGCCGGCTTGACATCCATAGTATTAGGGCTGGCCGGCTGGGCACAAATATCCGAAAATCGGGTATCCGTCGGATATCCGTATCACGGATACCCGATTTTAGGGACTCGTAATTTTCAAAAATCCGACCGACCAGGTTCGACCCTGCGTTCAATCCGAAGGTTTAAATTCGAATCGGTCTAATACTATGGATGTCAAGCCAGCAGGTCTGACCGACCAGGTTCGACCCTGCGTTCAATCCGAAGGTTTAAATTCGAATCGTTCATACTGGAATTTCAAGCCGAACTCGCAACTTTCTTGGAATATCCGGAAACTATTCAAAATGCAAGACCTAGCCAGAGGATTCATTCGATGCAGAGTTGGAAATGGCCAGAGAGCGTTCTTCTGGCACGACAATTGGACTGATCTGGGACCGTTGCTTGAATACATCGGGGTAGAGGGACCGAGACTGCTCAGAATCCCATTAAATGCTAGAGTCTGTCAAGCCGCTTCAGGAAGGAATTGGTGCCTCCCAGGAGCTCGATCGCAACGTATACAGGAGTTGCAGATCAGACTTCTGGACATACGACTGCCAACGGAAGCATGTGCCGAGGACACCTTTGAATGGAAGATAGGAGACAACATTTACTCCACTACTTTCTCAGCTTCAGCAACATGGAGAAAATTAAGAAACACTTCAGCCCAAGTGGAATGGTTTCGCATGGTCTGGTTCAAGCAGGCAACTCCTAGAACCTCTTTTATTCATTGGATGGTTATGCATGGAAGGCTGCCAACACGAGACCGATTGCTAAGGTGGAATCTAATACAGGATGCAACCTGCAAACTATGCAATGACGAAGAGGAATCACACGCACACCTTTTCTTCCGATGCTCTTACAGCTATGTAGTGTGGCTAAGATTTGCAGGAAAAATCTGGCGAAACCCACCGCGAGATCTGTTCGGATGTCGTCAATGGATAGCAAGCATTCCGGCGGAAGATGAAGATCGGAGAGTCACCCTCAGCAAAATTCTTATCCAACAAATGATTTATGAACTGTGGAGGGAGAGGAATAACAGGGTCTTCACGAATTCTTCTACTCCGGCACCCATCCTCAGCACTCGGGTGGACCAGGCGATCAGAAACACGTTACTTGCGCTGCAGCAAGCAAGAGACTCTGCAAACAATATCCTTTTACAGAAGTGGTATGCATTGACTCTATACCATAGTACAGAGACGTAGACAAGTGTAGAAAATGGCAATCTGTGTAAGTTCTTCTCCCTATTAAGGGTCATTTAGCAAAAGCTTGTATAGCTGAAAGGCTTGTATTGTGGATTTTTGTATCCTGGACCATGTCCAACCATTTTTGATTAATACGAACAAATTAAATCAAAAAAAAAATCTCTCGATTTTCCCGGGTGTTGGACCCGTGCCCACCTCTAATGTTAGACTTGGAATGGGCCCTAAATACATGAACGTGTGTTGTTTTTGAGGGATTCAGGATTAGTGGGCTTTTTTTTCTGCTGTCTATGTTGATTTTTTCACAAACATAATTTATATAGAGAGATTAGACTGCTGAAAACTATTTTCACAACGGCGTGTTATGGTTATTACAAATATATATAATACGTATTACGTAACACAATCTTTCCACATATGGGTATTAATTAATATGGGTACTAATTAATTAATTAATTCATTCATAAATATTTTTTTCATCGAAATACCCCAGAACTCAAACAGGGAAAAAAAAATAGATAAATCTCTTCCTTGCTTCCATATCTATTCATACCTGTTGCTATACATCTTTCTTTTTTCCAATAAATCAAAAATCCCAATTTTTTGCCTTTTTTGTTTTCTGTTTTAATAAATGAAACGAAAGAGAAAAAAAAAACAGAGAGCGCGAAAACTAAAGAAACAATGAAAGTTAAATAAAAAAGCTCGGAACAAACAAATTTCCTCTATAGGTTTTTTCTCTGTTTAGACAACTCACTTTGTGATGTCATGCGGATCTCTTCAATGCTAAGCTGCAATTCCTGCAACATATGTATAGAAACGTCAACCTTCAAACTAATGCCAATGGCCTGCAAAAAAGTTGGAAGCTTTTTGACAAAACTTCAGTCCTTCAATGAAAATGAAGATAATATGGTACCTCCGTTTGATTGCCTGCCGGTCACTTTCTCAAATGGTCCAATCCCCAACCCGAAAGGAAGGGAGCCGACTCCAGAAGGCGATGACGGATGCCATGTCAGCGAGCGAGCGCCAAAGAGACTGCTGTAATCCCCGCCATTGCTGACATCTCCTCCAACACCTTTGCTTCTGCCGAAATCCAAGTCACTTCTGTACCCGTGATAGCTAAGCGAACGAGATGTTGACCCTCCAATGCTGCCCGGCTGAGGCGTTCTTGAGTTTTCGTTAAAACTGCTTCTTGATATCGGAGAGTTTGATCCATAACCGAGACTGCCGTCTCTCCATAGATGATTTCTCAATGCCGGTTTTAGAACACCGTTTCCTCCAGCCAACTCACCAGGATTGCCAAGACTCGCTGAGTATCCAGGGCTATATGGCCATCCAACGCCTCTGGTTTGATTTGGGCTTGCTTCAAGATTCAGATCGATCCTGTATTCGTGGCCAAAAGGGGAGAATCCAGTCCGTTTAAGTGGTGCTGGACTGTTTCGACCTTCGGGTTTTACTCCATAGCCAATGACTGGACTCGGGTTTGGATTAAACCCCTGATTAAGTAACGTACTGATTCTACTGCTCCCCAAGTCGTTCGGATTCATTAGGTTCCTGTTAGGGCTAGGAGACATTTCCTTAGGAACCGCCAGCTTGACCTCGACCATCTTACCATTAAGCTCGTGGAACGTCCTGTGCAGTACTTTGCCCACAGCGTACTCAGAACCATACGTGACGAACCCAAAGCCTCTTCGACGCTGAGTTTTGTGGTCATACATCACCACAACGTCCATGATCGTCCCAAACTGTGCAAAATATTTCTTGAACTCGGCCACTGTCACAGATGAGGCTAATCCCCCTACGAATATCTTTCTGTTGTTTCCTTGGATGCCGCCGTTGCTTTTGTGTAAGTCCGTATGATCATCTCTTGGAACTGCCTTCTTCGCCTCAACCTACATACAACAGAGAAATCAAAAGAGTCAATGCAACTTGATAATATGAACTGTAATCAGCTTAGGTTTGATCTTATATAAAGAATCTGAAATCTTCAACAGGAAGATATTGTAATCTGATTAAGGATCACTCCAATGAAAAAGGAAAGCAGTTTATGATGACCCACTCTCTTTACCGCGACCTATCAATGCCAAGATATCCGATAAAACCCGACGAAAGATCGCAACTTTGAGTACCCAAAAGAGATGTTTATCAGAGTGTTCTCTCTTCCGTTTTTTCGGTGCTTCATTACTCTTTGACTGCGACACTCTAACCAATATACCCTAAAACAGAAATGTCTAAAGAAAGAGAATTGGCTTTCAAGAACAGCGACCTCCAAATGAAGCAACTGGAGGGTATGGCAATGATCATTGAATCAACCAGGAGATTCACAGGATATGATTTGAATTCTAAGGGATATTCCACTGATTCAGAGCGATTAAAACTTACAGTTTTACCATCTATCATGTGTTTCTGCAAAGCGACTCTCTCTGCAACATTTGGGTCTCGGAAAAGGATGAAACCGAAGCCACGGGCACGGCCAGTGGCTCGATCCTTCATGATCACTGCCTCTAAAACCTCACCAAATGACTGAAAATACTCGCGGAGACAATCTTCGCTTGTCTCCCAGGATATGCCACCGATGAATAGCTTACATGAATCCATCTCCATTCTGCAAAATGTTCAACGCTAAGTTGGAAATGAAGGTTTTAACATAAGTATCTGAATATATGCTGTTCATCGGTTCTCATTCATCAAAACCGAAATTCTCACTGACTCGATCCAACTCAAAACATCATATATTCAGAAAGACGATGAATCACATCCATGGGCACGTTCGAACAGATCATTACACGGTAAACATCATAATGCGGATGAATCGAACAGACCTTGTAACAATTCGGGAACTTCGACGGCGGTATCTACAAATAAGAACAGCTGGGTCGTGATCGGATTCCACCGACCGATCGACCCACGATCCTGGAGAAGAAACAGAGCAGACGGAACAGCAACCGGAATCGATCAAGATGAACTTTGAAGAAGAAACGAAACGAAAGAAAATCCAGAAGAGAGAATTTTTAGAGAATGTATACCGAATTAAAGAAACCCGGATGAGGAAAGCGAGACTGAAATCTAAGATTCGAGAAGAAGCATTTATATGAGGACGAGAGGCACTCCTTTTCCTCTCTCTCTCACTGCGTTCTTTTCCTTTTTCTTCCCCTTTTATTTTCTCCCCAATAGTTACGTTTTATTTCGGAATTGGGCAAAATAACGCTGCATAAATGCAATGGATGGATTTTGTGTAGCAGAAAACACAGAAGGGAGAGGAATGGGTCTGTTGATATATATATATATATATATATATTCATACATATGACAAATTTTAAAAAATAAAATCGAGACATGAAAATGTTTGGCTGTCTTCTCTCGTCGTGGAAGAGACAGTGGCATTCTTGTAGATTCGCTTTATTTTCTGTAATAAAACGACGCTTGCATTAGATACGCCGTTTTCATTGGGCTGTCTTCTCTGTGGGAGAAAATTGCATGCAGAGATCATATTCGGCCCACATATAATAGCCAGGCCCATCATAAGGTCCATTAAGAAAATTTAGGCTTCAAAATTTAAAAAAAAAAACAAGAAAAAGAAAAAAAAAAGCCCAACTCGCACAACATTTTTTCAATGTGAAGATTCATTTGGACGACTAGACTTTATTTTTAAACCTCCGGCACGGGAGCAGCCTTTGTATATGGATCATATAAACCCAAAAATTATCTCCCTTCCTACCAGTTAGAAATCGAACATTCAACCTCAAGATGGAGTTACCTTCTGCCCCAAACTTGATCACTCGCCCACGATCTGTTGGTGACTATACTTTATTTTAATTTTAACGTGTAGATATATCTAAATAATACAGAAATATAACATAAGAACTATGTACTGTATGTAAAAAAACTGTATTGGGGAATTTCTTTTCCCCGACTTTTAAATTTCAAAAGAAATATGTTATCAGTAACATACTAGTTAATTAACAAAGAATCTCAATATTATAATAATACTATTTTCCCAAGTAAGTAAAGCCATGTATCTCTCTCGCTTTCAACAACCACAACCATTATTGGCGTGTCTTCCTTGCTGTATGATTCTAAAGCAGACATTTATATAGCTTCCTTTGTGGTCTGTTTTATATGTATGTATATATATATATATATATATACACATATATGTATGTATTATTTAGGTATTAGGATGTGTCTGATTATGGCTGCTGTCATATGTGAGGTGGTTATTAACCGAATATCATATCCGAACCGAACTTAATAAGATATAACCGTAATCGAACCGAACTTGATATAAAAATTGAATTGTTATAGTTTTTGTATAACTGAAAATAACCGAAGCCGAATATAATCCAATCGAACTCGAACCAAAACCCGAAATGAACACACACACACACATATATATATATATACACACACGTTGTGGGCGTTTAATTGGAAACAGTTGTTCGGACATTGTTCAACTATTTGTATACGAGAATTAGGACGTGAATGGTATAAGCCTTATTTGGGTTTTTATGACATGTTTTAAGGAGTTGGTATGTTGCAAATGTATGTCTGCATGGGGAGTTTTAATTTGTGGGTTATTATATGAGGGATTTTCTAATAATATACCGTCAAGGCAAGTTTTTAAACCAAACCCTACAATACTTGCAAGCAAAGAAGGGTATCCTTTCAAACCTCATCAAAACATCATTATTATTGTTATATGGGAAATTAAATTAAATTTGTAAAAAAATAAATTAAATTTCAATAGGGTCATTGAGTGACTTCCACTAATTACAAAAGAAGGCATGGTTTCTGCAATGTTTTGCGCTTAAGCAATTTAAGATACATCCAAAACTGTTACGCCTCCAACCATAACACCCTCGCTTTCTCCATTTGACTAAAATGTAAAAACAAAAAAAAATGTTAATATTTGGCTATTAACACGGCCTTATCACTATCGTCCAATTTAATAAATAAATAAATAAAAAGGGAATGACACCCACAATCCTTATCGTAGCGGACTAAGAGAGAGAGAGAGAGAGAGAGAGAGAGAGAGAGAGAGAGAGAGAGTACAAGGAACAACACCAAACCAAAATGAAAATTAAAACTTCAATCATTAATTTCCCTTTTCCCTATCATTAGTCTCTTTCCATCTGTCAAATTCTCTCGGGCTTCCAACTACTCTCTCTCTCTCTCTCTCTCTCTCTCTCTCTCTCTCTAGTCACCCCTTTTTACCAATACACAAATAGCCAATGTTCCGTTTGGTATAGGGTGTTTAGTTTACTGGCTAATGTGGGTTGGATTCTCTATCTAATTGTCCTCTCTTCTTACATGAAGAAAGACAGTGGACTGTAATTGACCATTCCCCTAGTGATGATTCCGATGGTTTATATAGTTTATATATTCGCAGTTTAGTTCGAGTGGATAATTTGATATAAAGGGCACAATGAAATCTCGTTTGAAAAATGAAAAAGTCAACAACTTTGAAGATACAGATTTGAAAAATCAACAGAAAAGATAATGCTTGGGGGGCGTTTAGTTCATTTCCCTCGAGGAAATTAAAAAAAATGGGTGATTAAGAGAGAGATAAGAACCGAGTAAGGGTTGCTGTCAAGGGCTTGAAAATGGCGATGGTTGCTTAAAACAGAGGAAAGAGTAAGTAAACTCTCTCCCCTTGAAGAGGTCAATTCCTTAAAGGAATGGTCTCTCTCCCTCTCTCTCTCTGCACGTGCGTGTGTGTATATATAAGATTTCTCCTGACCCTCCAATTCTCCTGTGCATCCGTTCTTTGAACCGATCAGACCAAAAGCTACTTTATCTCCATCGGCATAAGAGAAGTGCCCGTCGAGGAAAAATGACTGCAGAAGGAGACCCTTTTGTCCCGGAGCTTCATTATCTGCACAACCAGCTTAAAGGTCACCCCTTCTATAATACACATTATTCCATTTTGCATGGTTCATTCTTCCATGTGAATGAATGCTTATGGTCGGTCGAAGTAATATGATTATTGTTCAAAGTTTGTTCCTTTGTGTGCATGCAGGCACTAAGGAGGTTTTGGCTGCTAGAGGCGAAATGGACGTCCAAAGAGCAGATGAAACACCGAAAGATAAGGCCTTTGAGAAGGTATTATTATATCGTTTACAGAGGTTCTCTTCTTCAAGTACATGTGAATGCCTCTCCAAAATCTCGAGGTTTGAACTCGAGACGGGACAGGCGTTAAATGACCCGTTTCACTGACTGAACTATCCGAGTTTGGGTATATTTCTCGTAGTTATCTTTAGTTTACTACTTTACTTACACTTTATTGTTTCTGTTTTCGGTTTCAGCTTAAAAAAGATGTGAGAAAGTTGGAAGAGAAACTCCGAGCCAGCGAAGACCTTCTTGAACAAAAGGTCTGTATATTCGGATGAAGTTCGTAGAAAAAAAATGCATTCAGAAGGCTTTTTATGGATGTAAGTGTTGGGTTTTTTCAAACAAAGATGGGATGTGTATGGGCAGGAAGTGGAGATGAAGAAGGTGAGAGAAGAGAAGGAAGACGCATTGGCGGCACAGTACGCAGCAGAAGCAACTCTGGGAAGAGTTTATGCAGATTCCGACCAGAAGGACGACGACTCTATCCCTCTCGAGTCCATCATTTCCCCTCTCGAAGCCCAAATCAAGATTCACAAACAAGAGGTGATGATTTCCCCTGACATGATCCGTCGTAGATGGATGGACAAAACCCATGTTGAGTTTTTGACACGATCTATGGCAGATCCTTACGCTTCAAGAGGACAATAAGGCGTTGGAACGTCTGACAAAGGCGAAAGAAGCGGCCCTTGTGGAAGCAGAGAGAATACTGAGAAGTGCGTTGGAAAGAGCACTGATCGTTGAGGATGTACAAAACCAGAACTTCGAGCTCAGACGACAGATTGAGATCTGTCAGGTAAAAACACTTCTCGTTGTTTATATAGAGAAAGAGAGATCAAAGCCATGAAATGAATCTACATACATATTCAGCTCGAGATTTGTGTTTAGGAAGAGAACAAGATTCTGGAGAAAACCAACCGCCAAAAAGTTTTGGAGATTGAGAAGCTCTCCCACACCATTCACAGCCTCGAGCAGGCCATTTTGGCCGGTGGGTCAGCTGCCAACGCTGTTCGTGACTACCGTCGTCGCATCTCTGAACTCAATGTAACTCTTTTTCCCTTTCTCTGTCATATATAATGTTCTCTATGAGTTGATTAACACTCAGAATCTCCTCCTAGGAAGAGAAGAGGACACTGGAGAGAGAGCTGGCCAGAGTTAAAGTCTCTGCAAACAGAGTAGCCCTCGCTGTTGCAAACGAGTGGAAAGATGAAAACGATAGAGTCATGCCCGTGAAGAAATGGCTAGAAGAGAGACGACTTCTCCATGTATTTTACGCTTTTCCACTCTCGAACGAAACACTACTCTGCCGATAAGTCCTGAAAATCAGATTCTTGAGAACGTTTTTGTCCACGTTCTATGCAGGGAGAGATGCAGAAACTGAAAGACAAGCTTGCCATTTCCGAAAGAACCGCAAAGGCTGAAGCACAACTGAAGGTGCGTCGGTGTTTCTTGTCGGTTTCGTCCTGTTACATCCGAGATATCCGCGTGTTACCCTTGCTTGTTTCTGAAGCCACTTGACTGAACATGCAGGAGAAGCTAAGGCTGAGGCTAAAGACAATAGAGGATAGCCTGAAGAACCCAAACACGTTTTCTGTTTCTACAAAGATTGAAAAAACTGGAAAAGTTTTAAGCTTCTTGAGCAGGTCTACTTCACAGCCAAGAGGGTCAATGGTGATCAGAAGCTATGCTCTTAATCAGTTATGTGTATCCAAAAGGAGTAACAAAGTTGCAGACAGTGATGGAAAAGAGAACTCAGAGATCAAGGCAAACGGAAGTTGTGTCCATGGAGAAGAAAGCAGAAAGAAAACAGATGAATCCGACGAAAATGGAAGTGGAAAAGGCGAGGAGGAAGCTTCTGGAGACATGGTGTCAGGGTTTTTGTATGATAGGCTTCAGAGGGAAGTGATCAATCTAAGGAGAGCCACTGAGGCGAAAGACGGGACTATACACGCAAAGGACGAAGAAATCAAGGTTCGGACATTGTCACCGTTTCAGTTAATTGGTGTAGCAGAGAAGTGGTGATGTGTTGTTGTTTCATTACAGATTCTGATGAAGAGGGTAGATTCTCTAACAAAAGCCATAGAAGTCGAGACGAAGAAGGCGAAGAGGGAAGCTGCGGCTAGAGAAAGGGAAAACGCTTCTGCTGCGTCGTCCGTACAGCAAGTACATGGCAGAAAGACACGTGACCTAAGCTTGCCGAAAAGGTTAAGACAAAAAGACATTAACTTCTGATGAAACTGCAAGTGAAGAATGTTACACAAGTCAAGATTTCATTAACGGTCTGTTCTATAATTTGCAGTCGCGTTCAAAGTTCACGGTGAAGATTCAGTCAGCTTGAAGAAGGATAAGATATATTACTGAAGCATTTGGCACACAAAGTTTAATGGAGCATTTGTTAAATTGGTACTCTTTTATATATATATATATATATATGTGTGTGTAATGAATAATACCAATAATAATAGAGGTGAAATACAAGTTGGTTTGTTTTTCTTCTGAATTGTAATTGTTTGGGAAAGAAAGGATTTGTTGTGAATAATGGGGTAAGTGAGGTTGAGTTTATTGTATTCCATATTTTATCCTTCACAGTTGTTTCATGTCTGGTGATTATGTATCTCTGTATAAGTGTAGCTATGTCTTATATGAAAACTATACGTAGTATTTTTTTAATAAAACCAAATTTACAAAATTTTAATTTGATTATCAATTTTTTAGTTTTTAAATCCTAAAAACTTTAACTCTCTCTATTGGTTGTGAGACGTCTTATGATATGGGCCCAACATGTTAGATCACTATTTCAGTCCTTCGTATAAAGGCCTCGTGGTGGCCCATTGTTGTGGGCCCATACGCTTTCCCTTTAATTATGTCGTCCTTTAGTAGCGAGCAATTAAAATGAATCCAGGTGTCATGCAACGAAGGAGCGTGGGCCGAAGGAAGATCGGGACCGTCCAATGTGGTGGGGAGTTGAAATGAACAGACGTTGGATCTGATTGGTCGATGCTGTCACGAGGTCGTTGAGTGGCCGTTACCTGTGTCTCCTCCACGCGCTCTCTCTATTCGTTGCTCCCCCATGCCCGGCGCGTGAAGTGGGCCGGGCCCACTAACGGTCCACAACACGTGGCACAGTCAAAGGCCTCCTCCCAACATATCATTCCAATCTGACGGTGGAGACCTATCCACTTGTCCGAATCTTATCGGGAAACAGACGGCTCAGCCTTCAGCCACGTGTCAACTCTGCATCCTCGCTTATAAAAACTCCGGCGACCGATCCCCAACTGTACACACATGACACATCTCCCCCC